AAGTTCATACGACCTGTCATGTGGTAGCTATTCTATCTCACCAATAACATTTTGACGTCGACGTCTCTCGTTCAGCCACCGTTGCACTGCCCCGGATTCATTATTCGTTGCCGTCTCTCAAGGAACGCGGAAATTAACCCTTAATTCAGATCGACTAGTCCGCTTGTTCCGCTACTCGTTCCGACACCCGCTGCCTATTTCAGATCGACTCCCCCGCTATCCGTCCCAAAACCAACTGTCCTCATTTCTCCGTGTCGCAATCCCACCATGACACGCATTGCCTCCCCGCGCCCCTGGTCCTCCTTACTTTTACTATTTTTTTTGCTAACGACCCTTAAAGCAAATCTTAAACAAGGCACTGTCCCATGTCGTGCCCTGTCTAATAAACTTATTAATTTATTGTTTTAACTCGACATCTTCTCAGCTTGAGTTCTACCTAAGTGACACCACGTCTAATAAAGTATACTAATTTATGTTACCTAAATAAACAATACTTAGAAAATAAGGACCCTACAATATCCGTAAGTGGCATGTGAACGAAATACGAAATATTAGAAACACGTTTGAGAGTTGTAGCCGTTTTTTATGAAGTAATTATTTAAGTATCCGTTCCACGAACAAATCTTAATTCTACTAATATGCACTTACTATATACTTATAACATCACGTCACTTCTATATATTAGGTATTAGATTTATTTATCTAATTTTTATGGAACAATCAACATACCTAGTATGTGATCGTTACAAGAGATACTAAAAAAACAAGACAGTAGAATCTATTGGAAAATGCTTAAGTCCATACCTAAGGGAAATTTATTTTTCTTTCCGTGTCGGAAGCGAAGTGGCGTAACTCTTATTATACTACTAAAAGGTTTTTAAGGATCGTTAAAATTTATTTTTACTCTATCCTCTTGCAAATATAACGTATTTTTCAAATAGACACCTTAATGTATAAGTGATTGTAGTTATTTTTCTTTGTGGCATTTTATATCTAACATATATGTTACGTAATTACATTAAATTCTTAATTATTACATACAGACAGATATAAAATAAAGTCAATTGGAAACATTACTTCTAAGAAAGTGTAGAAAATACAAGCTGATCCAGCAAACGTTGTTACATACAGTTAAAACATAGTATAAAACAAAGTCGCTGTCGCTGTCTGTCCGTCCCTATGTATGCTTCAATCTTTACAACTACGCAACGGATTTTGAAGCGTTTTTTTTTAATAGGTAGAGTGATTCGAGAGGAAGGTTTATATGTATAATACATGTACACCCGGGCGAAGCCGGGGCGAGACTTGTTGACTATTCAAAAATACTTCAATATAAGTTTATTTGAATAAATGATTTTCTATTCTATTCTATTCTATTCTACTACTCATTCATATACTAGCTACAAAATATAAATACGATGTAAAAATTATTGCATTTAGAATTTCTAGAGAAGTCTACGTTATGCCTATAGTTTTGTTATTTGAAACTTTGACTGTTATGTGCACAAAATAGAACACGGACCCGCTCGCCCTATAACTTTTGTACTCATACGTGCATTACTGAATGCAATTATACAGTTGTTTCAACTCTAGAACAAATTTGCAACTACCTACAATCTCTTTTTAATACAACAACGTACAAATTCAAATTCAAACTATCTTTATCGACGGCCTCGGTGGTTTAGCGGTTTTACACGGCTTTACATCCGATGGTCGCGGGTTCGATTCCTTGCACGGAACAAACATTTGTTTGAGTATGATTTTTATGTCGGTTTAGGTGTTTTCTATATATAATATGTATGTAATTACGAAAAAAATATATATCTTTGTATTTATAACAGTTGTCTAGTACCCATAACATAAGCTCTAACTAGCTTAACTTGGGTCTAGATGGCGCTGTGTATATTGTCCTGAGGTTATTATTATTATTATTATTTAATGAAAAAGAAGTTGTGTGCTTAAACCTGTTGATACCGAAAGTTACTTTACTATTACTAACTAACTCTATAGTGAAGAAAAACACTAAAATCTAACTAAATATTTATTTAGGAGGAGGTTAACTCTCGTTGGATAATATATCTAACTAAAAGTGAGCTTGTGTTACGCTCACCTCAACATCGACAGTTGATAATGACTCTGACTACCTATAGTCGTGACTTAACATCCCCTCCAGGGAAACACATTAAACAATTAAAACTTTTGCCGTATCAAATCACGGTTGAAATAGTTAATAAACATATCCTATGAGAAATTAAATACAACAGAAGAGAATAAAAAAATTCAAGAATATGGTATTGGGTTCCCTAAAATATGGTCGAGCGCAGTGATGGCTGGCTCATCCGTCATACTCGTGAACGAGTGCTGCTTGCTGCTTGTAGTCTGCTCTTATCAGTACGACTGATTTATCTTATTGTGTTTTTATATTGAAATAAATTAGTGCTGGTTGGTAGTTTTTATTCACACGTTTCGACTTGTAAAATGTAAACTTACAAGGTTTGTTTAAAAGAACAACACACAAGTTTCTTGCTTATTCTTCTTGTGATGAGATAGCTTTTCGAATAAGCGGTAGATTTAAAAAAAAATATTGACTATTCAAAAGTGCTTAAATTAAGTTTATTTGAATGAATGATTTTCTATTCTATTCTATTCCCGTGCATGAACAACTATTGCCATGCACGCTCGTCATTCAAGTTATTTTGTGAGTAGGCTTTACTCAGTAAATAAGATTTAACAGATGTTTTGAATTTATTTAAGGGTAATTCCAATATATTCTTTGGTATCTTATTGTAAATTTTTACACCTATTCTTTTTCTAAATGATACTTGGAGACAGCAAGTTTGTCTTTAAATCTATGTATTAATATTATGAATATTGCTGTTTTTTGGAAATAAGTGAAGATTTTTGTGAACATATAAGTAGAATGTTTACGTATATAAATTGAGAAGCAACGGTGAGAATATTTGCCTCTTTGAATTTCTCTCTTAATGACACACGACTCCTCATATTATGAGTAATAGAATAAAAAAAATTAAATAAAAAAAAGACTCATACATACATTTGGGATAACCGTCGTGATAATATTGAACATCTTCGTTTCATTTCAAAGCTCTAAAATAAAAAAAAATCATAATATCTTTATTCATGTAGGCCTATTACAGACTCTTATGATATGTCAAATCTACCGTCAATTCGGAATGATTTCGAGATAAGAAGAACTAACAAGAAACTCAGCTCGTATTCTTTTCAAATAAATGTTATACATAATTACAATAATAAAGATTCATTTTTAAATTCAAATTTTGAAGAATAAAGTGACCACCAGTAGGTATATGCTATTGCAAAAGAAAACAGTCTAATCAGTGTTCATAACTCAAACAGACCAGTCCTCACAAGCAGCACCAGTCAGAGCCCAGTTCCCAAAATGAGTCTGCATTTTGAGAACTGAGCTCTGACTGAAATGATAAATTATAAGTAATTCCCGAGCTACAACTGAACTAGTTTTAGCGCCATCTATAAACAGAACCACGTAACTTTTAAGCAAGCGTATTGCCCCATTCGGTGGTGCTCTATAAAATATTATTTACATGTTGTCATGGCAAATTGATCAGATGGAGATAGTCTGACATGCAGTTAGCTGCTAATTACCGTACTATAAGAATATAGATGTCTTCATTTTATATTTATACGTATAATAATGTATACATATAAATAAAATTGGAGTGTCTGTTTGTAATATTGAAATAACTTACTAAATAACATTTTTTACTATATGCATATGAATATAAATACGATACATACACGAAAACTACAATTTTGTGTGTCTGTTTGTTCCGGATAATCTCTGAAATGGCTGGACCGATTTTAAGGGGACTTTTTTTGGCAGATAGCTGATGTAATAAGGAGTAACTTAGGCTACTTTTATTTTAGAAAAATAAAGTTAATTTCCACGTGGACGAAGTTGCGTGTACAACTACTATATATATATAAACACAATACTGTCAAGACGTAGTACTAGCAAAGTTGTAGATAGGGCAACTGAGTGATTTGTGTTGAATATAGATACATAAATATAGAGTGTGTACTGTAACAAATTATTAACCGACTTAAGAAAAGAAGGTTTGTAATATTATACCATTTAAATTCTGTACCATTTATATTCCACTGATACAAGTGCATGTTTTGTGTCGTTGCTTATTTGAATAAAGTATTGTATATTATATTCTATTCTAATAATAAATAATTTATAACAAATTATATATGGGTATGAGACAGGGAGCAGTTGATCGATGATGCGAGAGAATCCTCTGCCCACAAGTATCTACAATCTTTTTCTAGTATGTTGTACCCTTTTAGAATTTAGTTTTTTTTTTATACAACTTCAGTGCACGTAATATAGAGGTAAAATATATGGTGGACTTAACACCTATTTGCCAATTTCTACCATGCAACCATTATTGGTGCAGCTATCAACGCACAGCCCAAACCACTGGACGGATCGGGCTGAAATTTGGCATGCAGGTAGATGTTATGACGTAGGCATCCACTAAGAAAGGATTTTGATTAATCTACCCCTTGCAAATATTATCAACGCAAATTTGTAAGTATATGATAGCTAAACGAATGTATATTTGTTACTCTTTCACCAAAAACTACTGAACGGATTTTGATGAAACTTTACAGCTTACATTAGACATAGACTACAAATTTCACACAGGTGAAAATGCGGGAACAGCTAGGTGATGTTTTTATAATACATACACAATTTAAACGTATGCTATTTTCTTTTCAAAGTCTCATTGTAAAAAGTATATCAAAGCTCTTAAGAATATCTATTTATTGGTGCTAGTTTATAACTCTACAAATTATTAATGAATAATTTGGATGCAGGCAAAAGAAAACAACTCAGTAACCCAGTAATAATTAATAATATATATTATTAAAGTAAGTGGCCGTTTGTAATCTAGACTTAGCGACTAAAAATAAATAACATCACAATGAACTTAGAACATCTTGAATGCGTTTGCGTAATACACTTCGCACTGGCTCGTCTTTTGGTACTCCTCGATCAAATGCTCATCTAACATGCTATTAATGATGTTGGAGATCCTGCAATCGTTTGGTGCCAGACTGTGGTCACTATTTATGTCCACAATCTTCACCGGCTGTGTTGTATACTTCGATAAATTATAATCATCAGACAGATTCTCTGCTTTAGGATGAGCGATGCCTCGAATCAACACCAATTGCGACTCCAACTTGAATTTAGGCTCGTATTCATATGCCATTTTGATTCTCCTATACGCTTCATTGAACAACGAATTTTTATACTCCAACGAGTATTTAGCCAGTCCTTTAAGCTTAAATGTGCAGGCTTCAATCTTCTCAGACCAGGTTTCGGCGTTTTGTAAATCCTTTTTAAGTTCTTCATTATGTTTTCCAGCCATGAGTTGATAGAAATGTTCGATGATAGCATTTTCTAGGTCTGAATCTGATAAATTACCTACGTATGCATTCAAATGAGTCCGCAGTGCGTCCGGGCTGCTGTCCAAACAATATACGATCCCTTTGTGACCTGAATGTACAAATTTATATTAGCAATGATAATGTTTAACAAAATTAGAATATTGTATTAACGATTTCTTTTCATTACATAGATTTAAATGAAAATATGTTTATTCATGTAAATTCATGGCTATTACAGATATTGGTGGATAATCGTCTATCGTGGTATGGACATGTAATGTTTAGGAATGAAGATAATATTTTAAGGAAGTTGTTACATATGAATATAATGTATAAGGGCAGAGGAAGGCCGAAAAACAATGGATAGACTGTATGAAAGGAAGTAAATAACGAGATGACTGCGAACAGGGATGAATGGAAGAGAAAGACATATTACGACGACCACAAATAAATGGGATAAGGAAGACGCAGATGTTGATACAGATATTGGTGGAAACTGTTTTTTTTTAAATGTGATTAAATATAGTTATAATAAAAAATATTAATACTTAAATTTAGGATGAATACAGTAACCCAAATCATTATTTTCGCGTTAAGATATTATTGGTCAAGGTAATCTACTATAATAATAATCTCAGGACAATTCACACAGCGCCATCTAGATCCAAGTTAGGCTGGCTAAAACTTGTATTATAGGTACTAGACAACTGATACAAATACATTTACATTTTTTCGTAAATACATACATATTATAACTACAAACACCCAGAAGGATACAAACAATCATACTGACATATACAAATGTTTGTACCGTACGGGAATCGAACCCGTGACCATCGAAAGTAAGGCAGTTTGCTAAACCGCCAGTCACCGAGGCCGTTATAGATCATGTATATCTACTTAGGTGATATGTTAATCATTTAAAGGAAACTCTAACTTGCCACAGTTATGCAGTTTTCTGTATATTTTAAATGTAATACAAATTTCTATTATCGTAAGAATATTTTTAGACCCTAGAAATGACATTATATTTACCATCTTTCTCCAGCAATGCTGCCAACTCAAGCGCGATGTTGACTCCAAATGAGTAGCCCAAGAGGTAGAAATTTGGTTTCATCTCAAACCTTTTCTTCACGAACTGTAAGAGTGAAAATTACTGTGATGATATATCTTCATCACTATAATTCCATTTGGGGTAGACAGGGATATTGTCAACTATTGAATTTTGTGAACGTAACATTCACCGAGTATTCAACGTGGGCATTACGTACAACCTCATTTGAGAAGAATAAGAGCCACCAGTTTTCCATCTGGGCTTTCTCAAATGAGGTTGTACATGTTAACAAATAAACTTTAAATGATGTTAAATTATGTACGCCTAATGAGGCAAAACATAATAGGTCATTATATTCTACAATGACAAACAATCTAAACCTATGTTTAACCCAAATAAATTAAATTTGATACAAAAATATACATTTATTTTTAAATTCATCTCAGAGAGAATAAAGTGACATACAGCCAATGTAAACCTATGTTTATTTTAAATAAATTTGATTTGATTTGGTTTATATTGATACAAAAATATAGATTCCATTTTAAATTCAACTTACAGACAGAATAGAATGACTGTCATTAGTAAAATCATTCAAAACCAGCATCAATAGGACGTTTATAATATTCGTGAGCTACGTACCGTTAGAATATTGCTGGCCATTTCTGAAATAGTTTCATCTTTCAAATCTGGCCCCAATTGGAACGTCATGGCCTGGATTTTGAGTCTCTCAGATATGGTTCGGAATATTCTGTAATGACCCTCGAAACCTGGTATCATCATCAGGAAGTTAGCGTTGAAATTCAACTCTTCTTCGTTCTGTCGAGAGAAAATAAACATTCAGAGATTTGTAATGTGATAAATTAGTTACAAATTTATATAAATACTAGGTACTCGCCCCGGATTTGTACGGGAGTACATGTATTATATAAAGCTTCATCTTGAATCACTCTATCTACTAAAAAAAAAAAATTCGTTTCGCTTCAAAATCCGTTGCGTAGTTTTAAAGATTTCAGCATACATAGGGACGGACAGACAGCAACAGCGATTTTGTTTTACATATACAATGTAATGATACTAAATAGTAAGTACCTATATATTTTAAAACATGTGTGTTAAAGTAAGAGTGAGATACAAGGTAGATCAATATGCGCAGTGTAAATGATAAAAAAAAATCTAATTGAATAGCAGCCAATTTCTTACTAGAAGATGTTAAAAAATCAATACAAAAGGAGATGGAGAAAATGAATCGACTAATAGTTAGATATTTATTTTGTTTATATTAACCAATACAGATACATACGTAGTATATAAATATAATTAAAAAGAAACAGAATAATAATAATAATATTAAAAATGAAGCAAACCAAAAATATATAAAATTTCAGATATGATCTTCCTTTCTTTACTTTACATGTACCATAGTGATGTAAAAAGGTGCAGTGCATTGTCTGCTCAGGGAGACAGTTACTACATCTAAATATATAAAACTCAAAGGTGACTGACATAGTGATCTGTAAAGGCACAGCGCAAACCACTGGACGGATCGGGCTGAAATTTGGCATGCAGGTAGATGTTATGACGTGGATGCCTACGTGACTGCCTAGAGAGATGAAAGATTGTATGGAAATATCGTCAGTTTCAAAGCTAGAAGCTTGAAACCTATTTTTTAGATTGTTTGCATTCTGTATGTAAATTCGTCATTTTTGAAGCTAGAACGATGATTTTTTTTGCCTTTGATTTATTTATTTATTTAGACTTTATTGAATCTTCTAAATATATATAAATCAAAGGTGACTGACATAGTGATCTATCAACGCACAGCCTAAATCACTGGACGGATCCGGCTGAAATTTGGCATGCAGGTTGATGTTATGACGTATGCATCCGTTAAGAAAGGATTTTGATAACTTCTAGAAAGAAGAAATAGGGGTTGAAAGTTTGTATGAAACTTTGTCAACCGACCGGGCTGAGAGTTTGCATGGATAAAGCTATTATGACGTAGGAATCCCCTAAGATAGGATATTGATAAATTCCACCCCTAAGAGGATATATTAACGCGAGCGAAGCCGTGGACAAAAGCTAGTTTAGGATGAAGGAATTAAAATTAGATTAAATAAAATGCTTAGCTGCGTAAAGGTTAGTACAGGACAGCCTATGCTAACTGCTTACGCTAGCACTGCTAGGGAGCACCAGTGGAGGATGATAAGATGAGCATGAGGGCAGCTCTGTTAGGCCACCGAGACAAATTCACAAATAATTCATAATGATCGTTTCCAAGGGGTACCTCGCGAAGGTTAACCTGACATGGTACATTGATAGTAATAGGGTCATCAGTCCACATTACTAATTTCCTAAGAAACGGGATTCCGTTTCTTCCCACAGTACGGGAATTAGTAATTGACTATTTATTTTTTTTACAATTCACACAGCGCCATCTACACCCAAGTTAAGCTAGCTAACGCTTGTGTTATGAGTACTAGATAACTGATATATATACATAGATATTCATGTTTTTTGTATATACATACATATTATACATAGAAAACACCAGACGGATCCAAACAATCATACTCATGAATACAAATGTTTGTGTCGTGCGAGGAATCGAACCCACGACCAACGGTCCTAAAGTGCTAGAGCGCTAGGCCGTCAATTATTGGAATCCTATAAAAACAATAAAAATTACAAATATAGATACCTCAATGTAACTGTTCAATTTCGTAGGCATCACCACCATAGGCTCGGTTGCTTTACATTCATCGTCATCTATGAACGTATAAAATGCACCGAGACCGCTGTCAAATTGAGTATTCTGTACCATGACAATTTGTTTTAAATTTTTAAAGCTGAAAATAAGATCACCGTTAGCGTATTCCAAATTATTATAATAATAAAAACATTTTTAATCATTCTAAAAATTTATATTAGAATCATCATTAACATTAGAATCATCATCTGCTTCTGCTTTATCCCATTTATTTTGGAGTCGGGTTATGTTTTTCTCTTCCATTCATCTTTGTTTGCAGTCATCTCGTTATTTACCTCCTTTCTCACTATATCATCTTTAACACAGTCCATCCATCTCTTTTTCGGCCTTCCTCTATTCTTATATTAATCCACATTCATATATAAATTAACTTTCTTCAAAATATTTCTGTTAGAATCTTACTGTAGTCAACAATGCATCAATGGAAATTGTGAAAATATTAAATTTATTCTTAGAGATTGTTCATCAACAAGAAATCTAAAAATTGTATTTCATAGATATACTACATCTAAATATATATAACACAGAGGTGACTGACATAGTGATCTATCAACGCACAGCGTAAACCACTGGACGGAACGGCCTAAAATTTGGCATGCAGGTAGATATTATGACGTAGGGATCCTCGAAGAAAGGACTTTTATTAATTCTACCCCCAAGGGGATAAAATTTTGTCAATTTTAAACCGATCGGGTTGAGACTTTGCTTATATAAAGCTAGTATGACGTAGTCATCCCCTAAGAAAGGATTTTGATAAATTCCATCCCTAAATTCCTGATAAATTAACGCGAGCGAAGCCGCGAGCAAAATCTAGTGTAATGATGAATGTCAAGTAAGTGTGATCCAGACGAAGCAGCTAGTATTAAACAATCAGAAAGGTAAAAAAACAGCAAAAATACCTTTCAATCGTCATTTGTTGCAGTGTTTTCGTAGGATACACCACGTGATATGTTTCCTTTATAACAGACTTTATTTCTTCTAGACTCACTTCGTTGAGACTGAAGTCTTCCAATGTAACATCGTCCGGTACCTCATTTATACTTTTAATACCTGTAGAATTAAATCTTACATCACTCATAAACTAGCTATCCACCCCGGCTTAACACGGGTGTACATGTAATATACATATAAACCTTCCTCTTGAATCAATCGATCTATTAAAAAACGGCTTCAAAATCAGTTGCGTAGTTTTAAAGATTTAAGCATACATAGGGACAGACAGCGACAGCGACTTTGTTTTATACTATGTAACGATTCAACTTGAAAATAATTATAATATTAGTTTGTACTAACTAGTTATATTACTAGTTACATTCTATCTATATAAAAATAACTCCAAAAGTGTCCGTGTGTAATTTCAAATTAACAACTATTCGCAAAATGCATACGAACGTTATACAGCATTTGGGTCAAAAATTATTATTTCAAAAAATTTGTCTATCTGTCTGTTTGTTCTTGCTAATTTTTGAAACGCTTGTATTGAATTTCACGGGTCTTTCCCTTTGATATAGGTAATTTTATTATTGGAGTAGTTGGGACTATTTAAGAAAGCGAATTTATATTTATAAAAAAAATTACACGAAGTCAAAGCCACGGGTTGTTAGAGCTAGTTGAAAATAAAATTTATAGAATCAAATCAAAAAATATTTAGATATATAGGATAATATGATATATGTATAGTATGTCGTATTTTTTTATTACCATCCCTACCGTACCGTTCGGCTAGATGCTTAAGTTGAGAAGAATAAAACTCAACTTGTACATTAATTTAATAATTTTTATTCAGTTTAAATAAAAGATCTATCATCATCATCTCAGCCTGGAAGACGTCCACTGCTGAACAAAGGCCTCCACCAAATATCTCCACGACGATCGGTCCTGCGCTGCTCGCATCCGTCGCCTTCCAGGGATCTTGACCAGATCGATCCACCTTGCTGGAGGCCTTCCCACGCTGCGTCTTCCGGTTTGCGGTCCCCATTCGAGGACTTTATTGCTCCAACGGCTATCTGTTCTACGAGCTATGTGCCCTGCCCATTGCCACTTCAGTTTAACAAATCAAAAGATCTGCCTGTAGGGACTAGTCTGCTCTTATCACTAGGACTGATTTAATCTTATTGTGTTTTTATATTTGAACCTAAATAAATTAGTGCTGGTTGGTAGTTTGTATTCACACCTTTCGACTTAAAATGTGAACTTATAAGGATTGTTTAAAAGAGGAACACACAAGTTTCTTGCTCATTCTTCTTGTGATGAGAAAGATTTCCGAATCAGCGGTAGATTTAAAAAAAAATGTTATGACTAATCAACAGTACTTAAATTAAGTTTATTTGAATAAATGATTTTCTTCATTCTATACTTTCGTTCTTAATAGTATTCTTTTGCATACATTATGCTGATGATGAAGATATTGCAATACTCACCCAATATTGTTTCAATTTTGCTTATGATATTTTCAGAGACACGCTTATTGATATTAAACGATATAACATTACTATTTTCAAGTTTGAGACTTGTTTCAAGAGCGTTCAGTATAGAAAAGTATGATTGCAACGGTAGTTTGTGTTGATTATCTGTATTTGTGCTTAGCTGTGGAGAAAACAATTAAAATAAAAATATATCATCACTAGCTGTCGTAATGTCATTAACATTCTAAACGCTAAAGTTTATAAGTATGGAAGTTTGTTACTCTCTCACGCAAAAATTACTGAACATATTTTCACGAATCTTTACAGTAATATAGCTTATTTATCAGAATAATATATAGCCTATAATTTAAAAAGATATTATGTAATTTGGGAGAAATATAATGATACATATCAAGTGTAATGCAGACGAAGTTGCGCGTGGCAGCTAGTTTCTTATATTTTACTTGCTCGACCTTTTTGAGAGTGTTAAAGACTATTGATACAGTTAAAATAAATATACAAATAAATATAATCCTAGCTAGGACAGATGGATGCTGGGAATGTGATAAGAAATAGCCTAGAGCTGAATATTTTAAAACAAAGGTGGCAAGGGTCTATCGTATATCTTATAGATTTATTATTAAAGAGTTCGATACAGTAGAAGAAAATAAAAGAGAAATGGGCAATATTGTAATATCATATATCGTTTGTAGGATAAATGAAAGTAAGAAAGCAATCAATCAAAACCAAGCAAATCAAAGCAAAATCAATTAAAAGTATGAATAATAAAGTAGGTTGAATGTAGTATCAGCAATAATATTAATTATATGTACAAATATATAATTAATTAATTATAAATAATATGTGCTGAAACTAGTTCAAACATTAGAAATAAACATTACAATATATTTAAAAATAAAACTGTACATTGAAATACAGAACTTAGTAAAAATGTTTTTCATACAGACAATCCAATATCTTCCTTTAATGAAAATGAAGGTAAGTTGCAAACCATGACTGATCGGGTTAATGGTAAAATGGTAAAAGAAAAATTTGTGTAATTAGGAAAGATTATAAGTTATTATATTCTTACCAAAATGGTAACTATCGAGATAATAAACCATCATAAAGTAAAAACAAGTATTGTAAAAATAAATTTTTGCATTCAGTAGACACAAAGGAATAATGAATGCAAATTTTTTTTTTCTAAGAACATACAATAGCTATAACCATTTTAACGATCCTAATACAATTTATAAACATCAAGTACCTCATCTGTCCAATCGATGCGGTAGAAAAGTGCTGGCAATCCAACTTCCGATCTCATTTCACAAACTTTCTCAGATACAGAAGTTGAATATTCATCACTGGCATTCTCTGATGACCGTGCTAAAACAACGAAGTATCTGAAAAGAAATACAATAAACAATTGGAGTATAAATAAGTATAAACTTCGAAGAAGTATGCGGAATATTTTTTTAGCTCAATTACAATGGCAAAGAAGCTTACTGCCACCTGATTGTTAGTGATTTTCATTGACTATGAAATAAAATGTGCGCGCTGTTTCTCCTGGAAACCATCGTACCAAATTCCAGGTGAAATTGTCACGATGGGCTAACTGACCTGAGCTCATATTCATCTTATCATCCTCCACTAGTGCCCCGCCAGCGTAAACCGTTAGCGAAGGTGGATGGACCATTCCATTATCATCAATAAAAAATTGTAGTAGTAGAGAATTAACTCTCTACTACTGCTATTATTTTTTATGCAAATGGGGAGATATATTCCCCGCGCAGATGCCGTGGAGTAAAGACGTGGATTTGTGGCTAACGAGAATTTATACACTAGGAATATAAGGAGACTTGAATAACAAATAAGTGACCACTTTAATTAAATTAAATTAAAATTAAATGTACTTACTTTAACTCTTTACAAATATTTCTAGATATTAGATCCATATTAGCAACGACCAGCGCTGTTTCTTTGAATATCTTAGAAGCTTCCTCTTTCTTAAAACTTTCTTGTTTAACACTGTAATGTTTCTGAACTACAAATATTCCCTCTACATTACCCAACTTCCTCGCCTCATTTAGGACGTCAATGCAACCTTTTTCAGTTTGTAAGTTTACAGCGACGAGTTTTATAGTCACTCCCAGTGCTTTCCAAGATCTGTTAAAATTAATATTATGTATGAGTACAACATATAAAGCTATTACTCTTTTATTTGTATCTATATCATTTTTAATTATAGCAACAACATCAAACATTTCTAGCAATGTCTAACAAATTGTTTGTTGGTCATATGACTTTCTATAAAATACATATTTCTGATGACATCTCTGATTCTATTTTTTTATGATCTGAAATGGCAAAGCTGACGACCACTTGATGGTAACTGTGTGACATAGTATTTGTAAATTAGAACGTAGGGAAACAGATTGTGCTAGTGTCCGTTAGATAACTACTATATAGACGTAGCGGTTTATATATTGATTGTCGCATGCCTAATCCTTGTTATGAATTAAATATAAGTAAATCAATATTTATTTAAAAGAGCAACACACAAGTTTCTTGCTTATTCTTCTTGTGATGAATCTGAATTTCGAATAAGCGGTAAAATCTAAAAACTTGACTATTCAAATGTGCTTATATTAAGTTTATTTGAATAAAGATTATTTCTATGTCTATCTATTACGGGAGTAGTATATTTGACTCCAGATGTACTATACCACTCCTGTATATAGTAGTTAATATGTAGATATAAAAAAAAAATCCCTGGACAATCCACGTAGTGCCATCTGGTGCCAAGCGAAGCAGAGCCTGTATTATGGGTACTAGTCTATTCTTCAATACTTGTCCCTCACGGGTCTAGATAGCGAACTTTGAATAAGGGCGAACATAGAGTTACAGGTCTTAGCACCTCGATGACCTCGGCGGTCTAGCAGTCTAGCACACTGCTTTACGACCGATGGTCGCGGGTTCGATTCCTCGCACGGCACAAACATTTGTATTCATGAGTATGATTGTTTGTATCGGTCTGGGTATTTGCTATGTATAATGTGTATGTATTTACGAAAAAAAAATTATCTATGTATTTGTATCAGTTATCTAGTAACCATAACACAAGCTGTAGCTAGCTTAACTTGGGTCTAGATGGCGCTGTGTGAATTGTCCTGAGATTATTAGCACCGGACATTAGCCCAAACCACCTAATAAAAAAAAGTATTATTACAATAAGAAAATAACAACCCTGGACAATTTATACAGCGCTATCTAGAACTTCTCTTATACTAGAGAACTGCTGAAAAAAAATCTAAATATATCTATTTATATATATTTGTAAGTAAAATTCTCTTGTCATCATGTTAGTTACCATACTCCTCTGATGGCCTGACAGATTTTTATAAAATTTTATATACATATTCAGTTGGTCTGAGAATCGGCTACTATCTATTTTTCATACCTCAAAGTGATAAGGGTTGTCCACCTAACCTAACATTACATTTTTATTTTTTGGGCAAAATTTTTAATTCACATTTTTTATTATGTGTCATTAAAAAATACATACAACCTTAAATTTTCACCCTTCTATCACCAACCCCTATTTTTTTATAGCGTTATTAATTTAATGGCAAAACAACGTTTGCCGGGACAGCTAGTAGATACATTTTTTTATTTATTTATTTGAGCTACCAACAAGACATACACTATGAGGTTACAATTATTATAACTTGCGAAGAGTTCAGGTATATAGTGTTGACTTAATTACTGGTTGCCACGGCACGCGATATTGGTTACAGAAGATTATATATATATATATATATATGTATACAATTATTATTATTTTTTTTATTTTTTTTTTTTTAATTATTATATTTTTTGTTTTTTATATATACTATATTTATATATGTATTTATATTATATTTATATATTTATATGTGTATAAATATTAAAGTTTTAATTTAATTGTGTTAATGAAACGGGTTTGACTTTTGTCTCAATATGTGTTCTTGAGTGGTTGACTTGAACTTGGAGAAACCAGAAAACACGTCAATATCCGAACTCCTCGCTACAATATTATAGTTAATTTCTAATCTATTAATGGTGGAGAAGTGTCCCAAATTGCTTCTGAATCGCTTTTTTGCAAATAAGGAATACTTTTTACTGCGAGGTAATTTATAGGGTGCGTTTATAGTTATTTGTTCTAGCAATGCAGGGCAATCAAGAACACCATTTATAATTTTATGGAAAAATGCACCGTCAAGCAACTGTCTCCTGTCTTCGAGACTCATTAGTTTGAAATATTTCAAACGTTTATTAAATGATTTTAGTTCCTTTGCCATTCCGCTATGATAAGAAAGGTGCCAGACAAAACGTTTAAGTATGGATTCTATGCGATTTCTATGTACCATATAATAAGGGGTCCATACCTGACAACAGTATTCTAGACCAGATCTAATAAGCGCGTTAAATATGGAGATTTTAGTGGACGCCAATTTGAACTGTTTACAATTCCGCAACATAAAACCCAACAATTTAAAGCTTTTAGTTACCAAATGATTAATATGAGTGTTGAAATGTAGCCTATTATCAATGTAAATTCCCAAATCTCGTACAACTTCAGCCTCTGTTAATGTACTGTTACATAACTTGTATGAATTAAAATAGTTTTTTTTTGAACGTGAGAAATGAATAAAGTTGCATTTTTTTAAATTCAAAGATAGTTTGTTCTTTATACACCATGTGGAGAATCTGTCTAAGTCTTTTTGTAGTTCGTCACAGTCAGATGAATTATTAATAATTTTCATAATTTTCAAGTCATCAGCATATAAATAAATATGTGAATTTGTGAAACAATCCGCGACATCATTAATGAAGAGATTAAATAAGATAGGGGAGATGTGGGATCCCTGTGGGACTCCTGAGGATGCTATATACTCTTCTGAAGTAAATCCATTTACCACTACTCGAGATTTACGATTGGTGAGGTAAGATGAACACCAATCAAGAAAATTTCCGGAAAAACCATAAGCGGATAATTTTTTTACCAGAATGTCGTGGTTTACGGTGTCGAAAGCCGTGCTGAAATCAGTATAGATGACGTCAGCAGATGCACGAGAGTCGACAGCGTTCACCACATCCGATACAAAGCATGCCAGATTTGTCAATGTAGAACGGGCCTTTATAAACCCATGTTGCTGACGCAGAATGACGTTTTTTACATGCCAGGAGATTATAGGGCCGATCAGGGACTCAAACACCTTTCCAAAGACAGGTAAAATGGATATGGGTCTATAATTTTTTATATCAGATTTATCACCAGATTTGAAAATAGGAATGATTAGAGCTTCTTTCCATATTGCAGGGAAAATACCGGTTGCAAGAGACTTATTGAAAATTAGGGAGAGGGGATAAGCTAAAACTGTTGCACATTTTGTGACAAACAATGAAGGTATGCCATCACTGCCGGCTCCTTTGCGGTGATCAAGTCTTTTTAGTGCACGTTTCAGGTCTAATTCAGAAAAAGAAATGGAGTTTAGGCAATTGTTATTGTGATCTAAGTACTGGGGTGGGTCGTAATTATTTGTTTTGTCATTTTGAGGTTTATAAACAGAAGAAAAATTAGAGGCAAACGAGTTACAAATATCAATACCATTATTTGCAATAATATTATTAAAGTACATTTTGGATGGGTATGAACTTTTAGAATCACGTTTTTGTTTTAAAAAGGACCAAAATAATTTAGGATTATTTTTAATGGACGATTCAATTCCAGACAAATAGTTTTTATAGCACGATTTCGAATATCTATTACATCGTTCTTTTAAAATCTGATAAGATATTCTATCTAGTGGGTTTTTATATTTTATAAATAATAAGCGGTATTTATTTTTTTCTTTTAGAAGTCGAATAATTACACTGTTATACCATATTGGATATTTTTGTGATTTAGGTGCATATTTGGGAACATATTGCCGGATAGTGTAATTCAAAATCGCATAGAATCTCCCAACCATCTGATCTACATTGTCACAATCTGCCAGCTGCTCTGTCCAACATATTTTGTGTAAATGATCAATTATTTGCACATAGTTAGCTTTATGAAATTTTAATCTAATGCTATTGTTAGCGCTTAAATAATTCGGTCCTGATGTACATGACAATGCAAATTCCAGAGGTGGATGATATTGATCTATAATACTTAATGGTGAGGCACACTTTAATACGTTCTCCACCGGTACATTAGTTAAGACAAGATCGAGTATTCCATTTTTGTGATTTAAAATATTATTATATTGATTTAAATTATTGTATGAAATAAAGTCCAACAGCATATTCGAAAACAGACTGTGGCTTTTGGACGAGCCACGCAGAGGACTATTGGGCTTTCCAGACCATTCAATATTACTTAAATTAAAGTCACCTAATATTAGTGTGTTGGTGTAATTACTAAGAACTGTAGTAGTATTGTTCAGAAAGTGTTCCAAGATATGTTTTTGTAGAGGCGGAGGCAGGTATACACAACATATGTAAAGTTTAGAAGGTTTGTTGTTAATACAGATATCTATAGATATCCAAATATCCTCACATTTACTCTCTAGGTTCGACAGGCGGCAAGAAGATAATCGCTTAGAGACCGCAATTAAAACTCCTCCGCCAGATTTGTTGTTATGGAAGCCCGAGGATACTCGATCTCGTCTGTACACAACAAAATGGTCACAAAATAGTTCTGAGTTGAAAATACTATCATTTAACCATGTCTCACATAAAACAATTATATCATAGGAACATGTCGCAGTATTAATGAATAAATCCGTAGTTTTAGTCCTTAGACCTCTTACATTCTGAAAATATATATTCAATTTATCTGAGAATTTTTTTTTTTTTTTTTTTTAATTTTATTTATCACTTTCAATTATATATACCTTTAATACAATGCTGAGATGACTAAATTTAAGTTTTCAGTTTATTTAAAACTTCTAAGTTATGGACATAAACTAGTTCAGAGGTTTCAGATTTTCGAATGTAAATTCGTCCAGCTCGAACCCATACGAATTTATATTTAAGTTCTTTAGCTCGTAAGCGAGCAGTTGCATGTAACATTTTGTTGTCCGGTGATAGGTTTTCGGCTACATATACTGGAGATTTTTTATCGTCAATGCCGAGGGTACTGGAATTTATTTTATCCTGTGGGTGGTTTTTATTATACTGGTACGCAGCTGCCAGCAGACAGTCGCGGGTGCGAGGTGTGTTGAATTTCACCAGTATAGCCCGAGGGCGGTTACTGTTGTTATTTTTTTTAGCTATGCGTGAACAATAAAATATTTCATTATCATTGACAGGACAATTCACAGTGCGACCTAGTTGTTGAACTATCGATATAAGATTTTCTGTTTTATGTTCGGGTACGCACTGAATTTCCAAATTACAAGACCTGGACATTTGGTCCATTTGCTTAACACGGTTTGTTATGATATTTAAATCTGAACGAAGTTCAGAATTTTCTTTCCTCAATGTTGTCAACTCGGAGTTGAAATTACCCGCATCTATTTTTAATAAATCAAATTGATCACTTAAGAAATTCAAAGATTTATGGAAGTCACTTATGTCAGATTTAATATCATTTAGTTTCGATTCTATAGTAGAATTCACTGTATTCATAGATTCCTTAATTGCATCACGTACTTCTGCACGAATTATTTCTCTGATAGTTGTGAGAGAAACGTAATCGGAGGGAATATGTGATTGCGACGAGTCTTGCTTGGTATTAATTTTGCGGCGGGTTACGTTAAAAGTTACGTCGGCTGTATTTGTTGGTGTGGAAGGGCGAACCGGAGCGTTGGAGTTATCTCCTTTCGGTTGTTTGCATAAACAGTTCGGACAAATCCAACCCGCAGAGTATTCCTTCGACAAACACTCTTTTTCCGATAAGTTTAAGCAGCAATGATGAAATAATTCGTAGCACCTTATGCATTTGACATAGATGTCATTTTTAATGTAATCACGGCAGGCAGCGCAAATCTTCATTATGGTTGGTTGTGAGTGTGAGACCCAATACTTAGTGAGACAGCACTAATGTTGTGTTTGTTCTGCCTACAATAACTTAGCCAGGTCGGAAAGGGACAAACTGTACTCTTGAACGCACTATGTTTATTAGAACACTATTTGTGACTTAAAACACAATATTATAATCTCACAGTAATGAACGCTATTGCTATAGCGTTAAGACTCAAAGTTCTGTATTGATTTTATTATGAATAAATAAACTGAGTGACACGTCTACTTCCGAGTAATGCAATCGAAGACTGCATACATATAATATACATAGAAAACACCCAGACAAATACGAACATGCTCACGAATACAAATGTTTGTACTTTTGGACCGTGCGTGGCATCGAATATGCAACCATCGGAATGTAAGACAGTGCTATACTGCTAAACCACCGAGGGCGTGAATGAGTAAATTATAGGCATCATATTTTGATAAAATGTGTTCGTAATGCATCTAAAAGAGAATATACCATCCAAACTTTAAAGTTAAATAGGTAAAACATAAGAGTATTTCATGAAACATTGGCAGAACTAGCTTCCGACGCAGCCAAGTTGTTGTTCTGAATGGTATCATATTAGTTTAAGTTTTAAGTTGATTTTTGTATAGTACATTTTTTTTTATTTAATATTTTACGGCTCTGGATACAAGTCCTTTTTTATTTAGTACAGGTACGATGGGTTTGCCATCGTCACATTTTGTGTACAAAAAATAAAAATAAAATAAGTATATTGGGTACGTGATGATGCGGCTCGAATGATAGATGGTAGGTGTTGATGGCTTCAGCAGATTACAGGGTTGTTGAAAATGATAGAATTTGCTTACTATCTTAAATTTAATGGTAAATATACTATTAATTACAAATTAGGATGAGTGAACAAATTGTACGTTAGATCGATCGGTTGATATTTTGAGTCTGTACGATACGTTGCGTATTTAAATTGGATGGGTGTGCGCTCCAATCAGAACGCTCCCTTTCTGTTGCGTTTTGTTGCTGCTTGTACGGGACAATATTTCAGACTACAACTTATAGGTTAAAGATAAATAAACGTGGATCATATAAATAATACTCACTCTATTCTAGAAAGGAAATACTTCGTCAAAGTATAAGAGTCCGCGTGAATGACAATGTACTTGGCTCCTCTTCTCACAAGCCTCTCTATCACTTCCGCTCCCAATATTACTTCATTACACACTACTATTTGTGATTGTGTTGGATTGTATGTTACACTGAAAAAAAATAATAAAAATAAAGTTTATCAGAACTAAGTTAGAACATTATTAAAATTATTAACCTGGTCTTAACACGAATAATATTGGCTAATAAGGAGGTATAACGAGATGACTGCGAACAGAGATGAATGGAAGAGAAAAACATATTACGACCACAAATAAATGGGATAAGGAAGAAGCTGATTATGAAATAAAGGTATTTACCTATCGTGTTAAGACCTGGTTAATAATTTAAATAATGTATATTAAACATGACAGTTTAAAAATAACTAAGTTAAAACACTTTCGAATAAAATTATTTCGTATATTTATTTATTAATTTAATTTAGGCTACATGGCCCGTTTTTTTTTTCGGACTACTCTAGTACTTTTGGCCGCAGCTGGCCTTTACAGCTTCACCGGACGATAGGGGGTGAGTGCAGATGACACTCCAAACCCGCGGAAGGACTTATGGAGCAGCTGAAGGCCAACTCCCGCCTGATGGATACGACTTTAGTCTGAGGGCACCGCTAGGGGTTCGAACCTCGGCTCAGGCTGTCGTAACATCGGTCCCCGTTTGAATTGGACGGGGGATCGATCGGAGGGAATTATAATAGGGATGGCCCATATTATAAATACCTTAGAGACTAACATACATACATGTAAATAAAATTGTAGTGTCTGTTTGTAATATTGAATATGAATATAAATACGGTACATACACCAAAATAACATTTTTTACAATTTTTGTCTGTCTGTCTGTTTGTTACGGCAAATCTCTGAAATTGCTGTACCGATTTTGACAGGACTTTTATTGGCAGGTAGCTGATGTAATAAGGAGTATCTTAGGCTTGTTTTATTTTAGAAAAAATAAAGTGAAATCCCATGCGGACGAAGCGGATACAGCTAGTAACTAATAAAGACATATGGAATTGTTTTAATATTTAATTTTTTTCCTAAACTATTTAAGATCAAAATACTAATAAATACATAAGAAATATTGAGTATATTTCAATAGTAATTGATATTATTACCAACTGTTTTACATTCACTTACATTGGTATGCCATTGCAGCTGGCATCTGTAGCAACAGGGTCCTTCATCCTAATCAGAACTCGTCCTCTGTGTTTGCTCTGCGATAAGAGTCTGAATGCCCTAACTATATCATTTGGTGAATATAACACACGTGTCAGAGGCCTCACATAACCATTTGCTATCCCTTCACTTAGATATACTTGCAATTTCTAAAAAATAGATGTAACTTCATTATTAGATTGAAAGTAGTCAAAAGTTTTATCTTATTTAATACAATTTTAACTTTTTGTTAAAACAGTAGTAGCCAATCTGCTGTGAGCAGTATAATGCCCAATACCACACATACAAGGCTCCATCCTCAACCACCACTGGTCGACATCAAACGTTGCGTCGATTACGGCATCACTCAATCGACCAGTGAGACGCGCCGCTCATCACCCGACATATATGAGCACCAATAAAAAGACTAGATACTCCACCCCTACGTATTTTAAAAATTTTAAAGTCGTTGCAATAAACGCCTCATGAGAAGAGGTCACAAGTTTCATTTAAAAACACCCTTCCTTATCAAAAAACAAATTAACACTTTTGTTATGAGGTATATAATTATCTCATTGACATAGTTATCAATGTAATAAAGATTAAAGAAACTTATTAAAAATTTAGTATTGATATATTGAAATTTAAATATTGTAATGGATGAAAACTGTGATTATGGTAATAGGTATAAAAATTTACAATAAAATACCAAAGGATATATTGGAATTAACCTTAAATAAATTCAAAACATCTGTTAAATCATATTTACTGAGCAAGGCCTATTACTCACTAAATGATTACTTGAATGACGAGCGTGCATGGCAATAGTTGTTCATACACGGGATTTTCATTTAATGTTAGACATAGAAACCTATATAAATATACATTGTAAATAAACTGGCTTTTAAAAGAAAGTAATACAATTGAGTCTCTGGCCAGTTCTTCTCAATTGGATCTATATACTGAACTGGACGGTATGGAAAAAATTTAAATTATAATGTAAAAAATTTGACGTTCATAAGCGGCTAAAATGTTTTACATGAATAAATGATTTTTGAATTTAAATTTGATAACGTGATGTTCATGTATACAGGCAATCGTTACCATCAGGCTGGCCGACTGTTTGTAATATAATTCATATAAAAAAAATCTATTGAAATAATAGGTACCTTTCGGAGATTCAAATTTTGCGGTTCAAATATTGCAGACATGTTCACAGCCAGGAAATTTCTTTCTTCTGTTAATTGATACATTCCGAAATGCTTGTTGGCATGCGAGTCAAAGTCATTTACATTGATAATAACCGAACCAAATCCACCACACACCAATGCAGTCTAAAAATATAAAATATAATTAGTACCATTAAATGCAGGTAGATGTTATGACGTAGGCATCCGCTAAGAAAGGACTTTGATTAATTCTACCCCCAAAGGGATAAAATGGGGCTTGAAAGTTTGTATGAAACTTTGTCAATTTTAAACCGATCGGGCTGAGACTTTGCATGCATAAAGCAACTATAACGTAGGCATCCCCTAAGAAAGGATTTTGATAAATTCCACCCCTAAGGGGATAAATTAACGGGAGCGAAGCCGTGGGCAAAAGCTAGTATATGATATTATTTTAAAAAATCCAAATTTTGATGAAATTTTACAGTAATATAGCTTACGCATCAGAATAACATATATATAATTAAAAAAGATATTATGTAATTTGGGCGAAATATAGCGATAAATGTCAAGTAAGTGTAAGCGCAGACATAGCTGCGCGGATTAGCCAGTATGTTTTTTTTTTTTATAACACAGGGGACAAACGAGCATGCGGCTCACCTGATGGTAAGTGATTACCGCCGCCCATGAGCATCCGCAACACCAGGGGAATTACAAGTACGTTGTCGGCCTTTTAAAAAGGAATAAGCTCTTTTCTTGAAAGTTTCAATATCGTATCGGTTCGGAAATACCATTGCTGGAAGGTGATTCCACAATGTGGTTGTGCAATGTAAAATACGTACCTCACTTATAAGTCCACTGGTACAGTTGATAACGATGCCGCAGCGTTTGTTTTTAGTTTCCATACAAACCATATCTTTAAATGATATATCACGAGAATTGCCAATTTTCTTCTCTGCAAAAAGGGTAATATCCTTACTAATATTATAAATCCAAAAGTAACTGTGTCTGTCTGTCTGTCTCGCTTCCACGCCAAAACTATTGAATCGAATTAAATGAAATTTGGTACACAGATAGTCTAGAACTTGAGAAAGTCATATCCGCACATCCTTCATTCAGATGTTTCTAGATACTGGACAACAGATATAAATATTAAAATAGATTAAAGATTTTTTTCATAAATCTAATAATAATAATCTAAGGACAATACACACAGCGCCATCTAGACCCAAGTTAAGCTAGCTAGAGCTTGTGTTATGGCTACTAGACAACTGATACAAATACATAGATATATTTTTTTCGTAATTACATACATGAAAAATACCTAGATCGATACAAACAATCATACTCACGAATACAAAAGTTTGTGCCGTGCGAGGAATTGAACCCGCGACCATCGGAAGTAAGGCGGTCTGCTAAACCACTAGACCACCGAGGTCGTCAAAATATTTATTAAAAAAATATATATAATCTTACGAATATTACAAACGCCAAAGTTTGTGGGTATGGATAGATGTTCGTTACTCTTTCACGCGAAAACTACTGAACGGATTTTGATAAAACTTTACAGTAATATAGCTTATGAATTAGAATAACACATAGGCTATAATTTAAAAAGATATTACGGCGAAATACAATGATGAATGTTAAGTAAGTGTGACGCAGTAGCGCGGATCAGCTAGTATAAAATATTATTTTAAAAAATCCAAATATCCTTGATAGAGATAAAATAATTAAAGCTTGTGCTCAGGATATTAGGCTACTAATAGAAATAGTTAAATAATTACAGATTATTTACATAAACCTACATGTGAACCTATAATAATGTAACTTACCATCAAGAGTTGGGAATAGTTTAAGCAAGAATTGTTTCTTTTTAATATCACTGACAGTCGTGAACACGGTGCAGTTCAGGGACAGGCAAATTGATATAACTGCCTGGCCCAGGGCACCAGCGCCGCCGGTCACCAGCACCGTCGTACCCTCCATTAATTTTGTTCTTATAGCCTGATGGAAAAAAAACACATAGGTTTCATTCCATAAATCCATCATGACGAATTCATAGATGACAACATATCAAGTAAATAATTAGTTTATTAGCATACAACGTTATAATTTAATTTTCTCATTGCTTTCTTGATTTCATTGATTGATTTTAGAAATATGAAAGCGTAGCGGTTTTTGTATTGATTGCCGCATGCATTCTTATGTAAAATGTGAATACTATAACTATCAGATGGCAATTGTAAGTAGCTTTGACGTAGTCTAGTGTTTTGAGTAGTCATGCTCACTAAAATGTCCAGACTTGTGGCGGCGTGGTGGGCCGGGTCATTGGGCTCCCTAAAATATGGTCGAGCGCAGTGATGGCTGGCTCATCCGTCATACTCGTGAACGGGTGCTGCTTGTAGGGACTGGTCTGCTCTAATCACTATGACTGATTTCCTCTTATTAATTGTTTAACCAGTGGGTTATATATTCAATATTTTTTTCTATTTGAGTATTTAATAGAATTAGTGCTAATTGGTGGTTTGTATTCACACACTTAAAAATGTAAAGTAATAATAAAATTATTTAAAAGAGCAACACGCAAGTTTCTTGCTCGTTCTTCTTGTGATGAGACAGCTTTCCGAACGAGCGGTAGATTAAAAAATGTAATGACTATTCAAAAGTGCTTCAATGTAAGTTTATTTGAATAAATGATTTTCTATTCTATTCTATTCCATCACTACATGCATCCTAAAAAGTATTTATTCATCATCATCATTTCAGCCCGGAAGACGATTTCTGCTGAACAAAAACCTCCACCAAAGATCGGTCCTGCGCTGCTCGCATCCAACGCCTTCCAGCGATCTTGACCAGATCGGTCTACCTTGTAGGAGGCCTTCCCACGCCGTTTATTACTTTGCTAATATTATAAACGCGAAAGTTTGTGACTATAGATAGATGGATGAATGTTTGTTAATCTTTCTCGCAAAAACTACTAAACGGATTTTGATGAAACTTTACATTTTTTTATAACACAGGGGACAAACGAGTATGCGGCTCACCTGATGGTAATTGATTATCGCCGCACATGAGCACCTGCAACACCAGGGGAAATGCAAGTACGTTGTCGGACTTTTAAAAAGGAATCAGCTCTTTCCTTCAAGGTTTCAATATCATATCGGTTAGGAAACACCATGCTGGAAGGTGATTCCACAATGTGGTTGAGCATGGCAAAAAGTTTCTAGAAAACCGCTCTGTGGAGGACCGCCATTCATCCAGATGATCAGGAAGGTATTTTAGTTTCTGGCGGGTGGTACGGTGGTGAAACTCAGCAGCTGGTATTAATCCGAACAATTCCTTAGAACACTCCCCGTGATATATGCGGTTACTTATATATATAATTTCCATCGTTTACTTATTACTGTAGGTAGTAGGTAGTAGGGCAAACTATCCAGCTAGGTAGATCAAATTTCGAGAAAGAGGTCAATCGTCGAATCCAACTCGGATGGGCAGCGTTCGGGAAGCTCCGATATATCTTTTCGTCCAAATTTCCGCAGTGTCTCAAGACGAAGGTTTACGACCAATGTGTGTTGCCAGTGATGACTTACGGAACAGAGACGTGGTCGCTAACTATGGGCCCCATCAACAAGCTCAGAGTCACTCAGAGGGCAATGGAGAGGGCTATTCTCGGAGTTTCTCTGCGTGATCGAATCAGAAATGAGGAGATCCGCAGAAGAACCAGAGTGACCGACATAGCCCGAAGAATTGCGACTTTGAAGTGGCAATGGGCAGGGCACATAGCTCGTAGGACAGATGTCCGTTGGGGCAGTAAAGTCCTCGAGTGGCGACCACGGACCGGAAGACGCAGCGTGGGAAGGCCTCCAGCAAGGTGGACCGACGATCTGGTCAAGATCGCGGGAAGGCATTGGATACGAGTAGCGCAGGACCGATCGTCGTGGAGATCTTTGGGGGAGGCCTATGTCCAGCAGTGGACGTCTTCCGGGCTGCGATGATGATGATGATTTATTACTGTAATATAGCTTATACATTCATCAGAATAACACATTTGTTATAAATTTTATGCGGGAAATCGCGGGGACAGCTAGTAGTTACATGTTTTTGATGTTATCTGTTGTTATACCAAAATAAGTGGTACAAGTGGTGCCATCTGTGGTTTACTATTGTAAACTTCCGTCTTTGTATCTATCAATAAATTAATTCCTAAGTGTTTTTTGTACGAAGCACGTTGTTTTATTATATTATTAAAACAATAAACATAAAAAGCGTAAGGTAGTGTTATTTTTTTGTTTATTTTTACCCATTTGAGATTTCTAAAAGCTATATGTTATTATAAAGTGCCATATAGTGAGTGAGTCGGTGTTTTTGTTAGAACAATATAAATTAAGCGGATTAATGAAGAAATAAGTGAGTTACGTACCTTAGCAGTTGTTCTACAAACTCTACCTAGGTATACTTACTACTACTATGCACATGATTATTATAAATTATCTTACCAGACAATAGTAAGCGTGGATATAGGCCAAAGGTACTGTGGCAGCATCTTCGAGATTCCAATGTGCTGGGACTGGCCAAAGCAAGTCTGGATCAGCTTCGACAGTGCTGGATAACGCTCCTCCAGGTATAAGACCCATGACTTTTTCACCGCTAGGACAGGTTAAAATTTTAAATGTTTATAAAATGATTAATCAATTTCCCCAATACCGACAATTGTAATTTCGTATGAAGCAAAAAATTTTTATAAAATCTTTATTAATTATTAATCAAATGCCCCAATACCTACAATTGTAATTTCGTTTGAAGCAAAAATTGTTTATAAAATATTGATTAATTATTAATCAAATGCCCCAATACCTACAATTGCAATTTCGTATGAAGCAAAAAATTTTTATAAAATCTTTATTAATTATTAATCAAATGCCCCAATACCTACAATTGTAATTTCGTTTGAAGCAAAAATTGTTTATAAAATATTGATTAATTATTAATCAAATGCCCCAATACCTACAATTGTAATTTCGTATGAAGCAAAAATTGTTTATAAAATATTTATTAATTATTAATCAAATTCCCCAATACCTACAATTGTAATTTCGTACAAAGCAAAAGTATATGATATGTATAATATTACAGCCTATTTAATTTGACTGCATCAGTGATCTAGCGGTTTAGTACAACACTTTAGTTTCGATGGTCGCGTGTTCGATTCCTCATACGAAATAAATATTTATATTCATGCTTATTACTGTTTGTATTCATGAATGGATGATTGAATAAAAACTCTTTATTGTTCCTCTCACAGAAAATAACAATTGCATAAATTAATATGTACACAAAATATTTAAAAAAACACAACAATTACAACATAGAGGTAACAATGGGCGGCCTTATCGCTAAATAGCGTTCATGATTTGGGTACATTACGTAAGTATTTACTAAAATAATATATTTAAGTGTATATATGAGTCGTCTATTATCCATAATACAAGCTCTTTTTAGCTTGGGATTTCCTCCGATCGATCCCTAGTCAAATTAAACGGGGATCGAAGTTGTAATAACCTGAGCCGAGTTTGGAACCCCTAGCAGTGTCCTCAGACAAAAGTCTTATCCGTCAGGAAGGAGTTGACCTTCAGCCATTCCTTAAGCCCTACCTTTGGTTTGGAGTGCCATCTGCACTCGCCCCCTATCGTCCGGTGAAGCTGTAAAGGCCAGCTGCGGCCAACAGCATTAGAGTAGTCTAAAACCAACTCTTCTTTAGAATGATTTTATTAGGAAAAGGTAGATTTAAAATGAGTGTTTAGAGAGAATTTGGAAACGAATAAAGGAACCTGTGCATTGTAAATAAACTGGATTTTAAAGAAAAAATAATTCAATTGAGTTTCTTGCCAGTTCTTCTCAATTGGATCTATATACCGAACTGGACGGTAGGGAAAAAAAATTATAATGTAAAACTTGACGGTTCATAAGCGGCTAAAATGTCCTACATGAATAAATGAATTTTTTCAAATTCAAATTTTTGAATTTGAATTCGGAAGTTTGTGTATGCAACTTACTTCTTGGTAATTCCACTAAAGTCCATTCCAAATTCCTTACTATCGGTTACTTGTCCAACAGCTCTCTGTGCGTCTCTTGCGGACGGTCCAGCATAATAAACCTTAAATATAAGATTTCCGTCGTATTTTATTGTATTTCTTAAAAATATATTGCATATCTCTATAATCACCTCTGTGGTCTAGAAGTTCAGCAGATCGCCTTACTTCCGATAGTCGCGGGTTCGATTCCTCGCATTGAACAATTATTTATATTTATAAGTATTATTGTTTTGAATCGGTTCGAGTATTTTCTATATACGTATATTATGTATGTATGTATTTTAATAAAGTATTAAAAAATCAGATATCAGTACGAATTACATAAGCTTTGGGCATAAAAATTTATAATAAAATAACAAAGGATATACTAGAATTACCCTTAATTAAATTCAAAACATCTGTTAAATCATATTTACTGAGCAAAGCCTATTACTCACTAAACGATTACTTGAATGACGAGCGTGCATGGCAATAGTTGTTCATGTAGGGGATTTTCATTTAATGTTAGACATAGACACCTATTTAAATATACATTGTAAATAAACTGTTTTTTTTTAAAGAAGAAATTCAATTGAGTGCTTTGTCAGTTCTTGTCAATTGAACCTGTATACTGAAGGTAGGGAATTTATAATAATAAAATGTGACGTTCACAAGCGGCTACAATATGCTACATGAATAAATGTTTTTTTAATTTCACTTTGCTTGTGATTAGGTGGTGCTGTGTGAACTGTCCTAGGTTATTATCCTTATTAACTGTCTCGTGATAATGAGATCATCATCTCATCAACATCTACATACCGTCACCGAAGTCTTGCTGGACGCAGGCGTGTCAGGCTCTCTCCACGTTAAGCTGGCGAGGTCGCCCGGCACTGCACTTGTGAGTTTTATGCTGCCCAGGCGAGTGGATGTCGCACTGGGCACGTAGTAATAGGACCCCCATTTACCCTGAAACAAAATAAAGAGTTCTTCTTACGCAGACACACAGACTGGTCGTGTCATGATGGTATCTCTTTGTTGTCCATTTTAAATAAAGAATACTTAATTTATAGGCGGAGACTGCAGGTCCAACAGAACGCCGCCCTCCGTCTGTGTCCGAACAAATGCCGGACGGTACGTCCGTAATGACGTGATCGCCCGCGACCTCAAGGTCCCATCGGTGGAGCAGTTCGTCGTCCGGTTGACGGGCGTGAGGTTCTCGCGCGCGGACACCTGCGCGACCTCGCCCCTCTCCACGCGCGCCCACCGGACGCCACTCCCGCGCTCTACTCTCCACCGAGTGGACACGTCATTTACGTGACGTGGCGGCGTTAAGCCGGCTCGGCGAGCGAAAGAATGAGTCCTGCCACACAACGCCCACAGGCGGCTGTTGAGAAGCAGCAGCCCTCCGGCCGGCCGGCAGGTCGGCCGGTAAAAGAACGACGCTGGGGTGGTTCACCCCAGCAGAATGCCCGGGCAAGGAGCGCAAGCTCGGGGCCCGTACCCAGCGGTCCATTTACGACCAACGGACGATCCGGATATATATATAATTTATAAGTCATGTAAGTTGTTTGAGAACTTTCTATTTGTAAATAGTCATCCGGAAGTGATAACATTAATGAAACTGTTTATTATTCCTCTTACAGAAAATAAAAGTACATACATAATTATGTATAAAAAACATAAAGATAAAGAAAAGAAAGAGGTAACAATGGCATATGATAATCAAATTACTCAATATGATGATATCACGCAAGATCGGCAAGATAAAAATTAGATGGCGTTTAAATTCTTGAAATTAGTTATTACGAATAAATGAAAATCATGACTAATAGACATACGGACGGGATGTGGAAATAAGAATATATTTTAAGTGAGATATTATTTTAATAACTTTCTAATCAATAAAAATTAGTAAAGTTAAAAAATAGTAGATTTTTTTTTGTTATATATAGATATAGATATATAATCTATCAGTAAATGAAATTTACAAATGTTAAATAGATATATAGTATCATGGTTTACCTGCTTTAAAACATTAAAAGTTAATTGCTTTTGTAGTTGATCCTGATATAAACTGTCTGCAGGGTTAAATGCAGGTGCATGGTAGTCTTCGATGACCACTAAACTAATGTTAGCTCTGTATTTATTTTTAAGCTTTTTAACCAAACCTGTAACAATATAATAGAACTACATATACATAAATGTGATAAACTAAAGGCGGGCTTATCGCTTAATTAAATCCCTTACAGATAAGATAAAAGTAGTGTTGTCTGAATATACATATAATAATTTTTCTTCTATGTTTAAAAACCAATATAACTCATATTTATTCAAAGTTAATAATATAAGTGCTTTTAAATAGTGATGTTGTCCAATTCTAACTTTCAGAAAGCAGATTGAGCTAATGACGAATGTGCAAGAAACTTGACTGTTGCTATTTTACCGAAATATTGATCTGTTCTACTTTAAATTTTAAAGATATCGTGTGAGTACATGTGAGTATAATTTATCATCATCATCATCATCATCGCAGCCCGGAAGCCGTCCTCTGCTGGACGTAGGCCACCCCCAAAGATCTCCATTATAAAGAGATGTTTACAATTTATCAAAAGACATTAATTCAAAATAATTCAGTAGCACAGTCAAAAATGAAATTAAAGGTTCGAAAACATAAGCAAAATATAGAACTACTGCTACGAATATTTTTCCCCTAATAACAATCTTTGCGGCAAAGATACCCGAACGGTAAAAGACTGGAATTTTTACAGTAAATTCTGTATTACTGTCAAAATTTCAGTAATAATGATGTTTACAGTACGAAAATGACTAATCAGGATATTCTTGTTTTATATACCATCAGCCGCATGCTCGTTTGTCGTGTTAACACACGACAAACGAGCATGCGGCTCACCTGATGGTAAGTGATTACCGCCGCCCATGAGCACCCGCAACATCAGGGGAATTGCAAGTACGTTGTCGGCCTTTTAAAAAGGAATAAGCTCTTTACTTGTAGGTTTCAATATCGTATCGGTTCGGAAATACCCTTGCTGGAAGGTGATTCCACAATGTGGTTGTGCGTGGGAAAAAGTTTCTAGAAAACCGCACTGTGGAAGACCGCCATTTATCCAGAAGATCAGGATGGTATATTAGTAGATATTATATTAATTATATTACTTACTATTAATAGATATTATATAGATATTACATTGTCGGCCTTTTGAAAATGTAACAGAACTTACCAATAAGTCCACAATAATGTTGTTTATCAGAAACGAGAATGACACGTGACGACGTCCGCAGTTCCTTCTCTACCTCTGGCACCCAGGAAAAGTTCAGATCATGAGCGATAGATATATACTTCACCTTTTCTTTCTCTTTAGTCGCAGTTATTTTTTTAAGCAAAATCAGAAACTGGTTTTGTGTTGACATGACAGTAATTACATCGAATAATTTATATTTGGGGCATATTTTTGATGTGTCTTTCTCCATAGTTATTACGAAAGTGTTTTCGACAATGGCACCGTGTAAATTTGTCATTTTCTGCAAAATAAGTTTGTTAATTTTTATAGTTAACTAGCTACTCGCCCCGTCTACGCACGGGTGTACATGTATTATATATATAAACCTTCCTCTTGAATCACTCTATCTTTTAAAAAAAACCGCTTCAAAATCAGTAGCGTAGTTTTAAAGATTTAAGTCTATGTAGGGACGGACAGACAGCGACAGCGACTTTAAGCTAGCTAAAGCTTCTGTTATGGGTACTAGATAACTGATACATATACATAGATATATTTTTTTTTGTAAATAAATACATATTATACATAGAAAACACCCAGGCCGATACAAACATTCATACTCATGAATACAAATGTTTGTGCCGTATGAGGAATCAAACCCGCGACCATCGGTTGTGATGGTCGACTAGATGGTGCTGTGTGAATTTTTCCTGAGATTATTATTAGAGTGATTGTTAGGGAATTTACTCTCTGCTACCAAAATGTTAGGGAATGTACTATGTATATATATAGGGAAAAATATGTGTGGAAACGTCTGTCACGTACCTGTATGGTGCTGCGGATTTCTTGGGCTTCAGGGTCTCGAAGGTATCTTCGCTAGCTTTCCAGTTTCACAGTAGGTTTAACACAGTTCTAATTTATTTTAATTCACAACACAATGCGCGCGCGCGTCAAGGCCGCTGTACGGTCAGTTCAGTACTGTAGGTAAGGGAGGGGAACAGAAACCGCGGGAACACAAACTAACGGACTCTAATATAATAATCTGTGCTTACGATGGTACAGGGTAGATTTTGAACAGTGATATTTACCTTTTCGTCAGTAAGCAGATCATCGATAACAATCACGTTGCCTTTCAAAACATGTCTATCTGTTTTAATGGTAGCGAAGTTAACAATTTCTTTAGCATACGTATTGAATACTGCGTCTGGTATTCTATCGGCTGCTTCTCTTAGAATTTCATTCGTAATTGCAAATGTAGGGACAGACAGATTCGTGATATTTATTTCGTTAGCCGATATATTATCGACCGTGACTTGTAAATTAATTTGTAGAGCAGAAACTAACTGTAATAGAAGATTATGATTAATATAAATAATTTTTTTATGTATACATATTAATAAAATTGGAGTGACTGTTTGTAATATTGAAATATCCGTTTTTTACTACATGCATATGGATATAAATACGGTACATACATCAAAAATAACATTTTTTACAATTTTTGTTTGTCTGTCTGATTGTTCCGGCTAATATCTGAAATGGCTGGACCGATTTTGACGGGACATTTTTTGGCAGGTCGCTGATGTAATAAGGAGTAACTTCGGCTACTTTAATTTTAGAAAAATAAAGTTAAGTTCCAAGCGGACGAAGTTGCGGGGAACAGCTAGTATATAACATAATTGTAATCAACTCCAATGATTTATTCAGTAATTAGTTACTCGCCCCGGCTTCACACGGGTGTACATATATTATATTATATGTACATGTATATATATACCTAAACCTTCCTCTTGAATAGATAGAGTGACTATCTATTAAAGGAATCCCTTCAAAATCCGTTGCGTAGTTTTAAAGATTTAAGCATACATAGGGACAGACAGCGAGAGCGACTTTGTTTTATGCTATGTAGTAATTCAAAGTTTTCTTACATCAATATATCCAGTTAGAAAGTGTGGAACAAATTGTTTTGTTTGAAGTACATCAGGAACTTGTTGCTTGAAAGGCTTATTGTAAAATTCAATATTATTTAATTGGACACCGCCGTATCTGTAAATGTAAGTACTTGTGAACTCTATTGTGTAATAAACAAATAAATAAAGTAAATAATAAATAACCCTGAACAATTAACACAGCGCCATCTAGTACCACGGTAAGTACAACTTCTGTTATGGGTACTAGACAACTGATATAAATACTTAGATTTGTTTTGTTATTAACTCGTGAATACAATTTGCATCTGCGAGGAATCGAACCCGCGACCAGCGGTGTGCTTAACCTCTAGACGACTGATGGCGTCATAAGAGGGCTCTTATTCGTGTTTCAATAAGTTATTTAATAATAAACATCAAATTTTTTGATTTTGAAATTCTAATAAATTTCACCCTCCTGTATAATAACAGTTTCCTCTCCACTCGATTCCTATCACATTCCATCAACAGGTGCTGGACATCTTCGACTTTTTGACACACAACACAATAGGGTGAATTATTTTTTACTGAGAGACGGAAATAATAATAATAATGTCAGAACAATTCACACAGCGCCATCTAGACCCAAGTTAAGCTAGTCAAAGCTTGTGTTATGGGTACTAGATAACTGATACAAATACATAGATATTTTTTTTGTAAATACATACATAATATACATAGAAAACACCCAGACCGATACAAACAATCATACTCATGAATACAAATGTTTGTGCCGTGCGAGGAATCGAACCCGTGACCATCGGTCGTAAAGCGGTGTGCTTGACCGCTAGACCACCGAGGTCGTCAAAATAAGGAAATATTTATTAAAAATCTCAAAATCAAAAAATTTGACATGGGCGCTATTCAGAGCACTACATGCTCCTACTACTGAGATTGCGCTGATAAAAGCAATTTAACAAATAGATCCCTCATAGTTGGTAATTATTTGTATTTATAATTATTTAAGAATTGTTACGATTAGTTTGTAATGGGGTTTACATGTTTAAAAACAAAACCCAAATATAAATTTAGATTATAAAAAAAAAACTTGTAGAATAATATTTTTTATAGAATTTGTTGTATTTACCTAGTCTCTCTCGATATATAATCATGATTAACTTCTACAGTCTCAGTGCCAGTAGGAAGCTTCTCTATAACACGCTTGTGTTCGACAGGATTTATTACCAAATTCTCTATCACTTTAACAGTTGATATTCCATCATATTTGTTTGACAGTACGTTTATTTGTATCATCGAGTCCAAAAACGTTATCCATTCACCGGTCCATTTCACGTTTGCTTTAGAAAAGTTGTTAGTTACTGATTTAATTGACTGAAATTCACCCCTGAAACAAAATACGGGAAAATTCTCAGATTTTTTATATAACATATAGCTATTGTATACTAGCTGTATGGATCAGAGTGCTGGCCCGTAAAGGCGACGGATGAAAGACGACTGCATGCAACTGAAATGCGAATGTTGAGGTGGATGTGTGATGTGACAAGAATTAATAAGATAAAGAATGAATACATTAGAGGAAGTATGAAAGTGGCGCCGGTGTCAGAGAGGTTGAAGAGTAATCGTCTATCATGGTATGGACATGTAATGCGTAGGAACGAGGATAATATTTTAAGAAAGGTATTACATATGAATGTGGATGGTTATAAGGGCAGAGGAAGCCCGAAAAAGAGATGGATGGACTGTGTGAAAGATGATGTGGTAAGAAAGGAAGTAAATAACGCGATGACTGCGAATAGGGATGAATGGAAGAGAAAAACATATTACGACCACAAATAAATGGGATAAGGAAGAAGCAGAAGATGATATTGTAAACTAGCTGTTGCGGGTAAAGGATACGATGTTGTTGATTGATTATAGATGATAATAGACTGACAATATGTACATAAAAATATTTATCTAATGTACTAAATGACAATAGGAAAATGTAAGGTGGGGTGACACAGTTGGCGGTAGTGCTTAGTACACAATATTGGATTTGTCTTACTAGACATTATTAAATGCAATTATTATTTATAGGTAACTATGTCCCATACTAGCCACATTAAAAAACATAATATTTATACATTGAAAAATTACTAAAATTAATTTTTAAAATTCTCTTCTTTATATATACTCAGTTATTACAGTATTGTCTATAGTTTAAAAGTAATAATATCTCAGGAAAATTCACACAGCGCCATCTAGGTCCAAGCTAAGTAGAGCTTGTGTTATGGATAAAAGACAACTGATATGAATACTCAAATTTTTTTTTAATACAAACACATAGACTGAAAAATTTTTATACATGAGTATTATTACAAATAGTAATACTCATATATAAAAATATTTGCACAATGCCAGGGATCGAACCTGCAACTATCGGAAGTAAGGCGGTGTGCTAAACCGCTCGATCTACGAGGTAGCCACAAGTATCAATATTATAATGGAACATCTAAGATATAATTTAAAAGGTATTAAAAGTTTATAGCTGTGATTCGTAATAAAAAATCTCTTACTGGTAAGCGTATCCTCTCTGACTGAAAAATCTATAGATGTCACTGAAGTTTAACATTATTTCTTGTTCAGTGACCACTGGTTGCTCTTCTTCTTCTTTTTCAGCAGGTGGTGCAGGTTCTTTGTCGTATTTGATGTAACCATCTACAATACTTGAATTTTCATATATGACCTAAAATATATATTTAGTTTTTTATATACGTTTATTTTTATACGTTTCATTACATTTGTTGTTTATAGAAGTAGGTATTTACTCTAGATTCATAATTAAGGAGCCTCTTTATCTCTTCTTTCAAATTTGTAAATCTAAGAAACGCTACGATTATAATCTAAATATATATAACTCAAAGGTGACTGACATAGTGATCTATCAACGCACAGCCCAAACCACTGGACGGATCGGGCTGAAATTTGGCATGCAGGTAGATGTTATGACGTAGGCATCCGCTAAGAAAGGATTTTGATTAATTCTACCCCCGAGGAGATAAAATAGGGGATGAAAGTTTACTTGAAAATACTATAAAGCCGCAAAAACTATACTATAAAGCCGCAAAAACTAAAAACCTCATGACAGTACCTAATAATAATTTATTATTTTTAACGCGAGCGAAATTTTTATTATTATTTTACTTTTATATTAATATATTGACATGTATAAAATTGTTATAAGGGACCTGACCAAAATAGATCGACTTAAATAAGTCATACAGAAATGTAAAAGGTTAATATAATAAGAGCACGGACCATGCTTAAACTTAAATTGTAAGTAAGAATAAATTCGAAGCGGCTTGACTGATTTTTATGAAATTTATTAAAGGTCCATAACATCATAAGCTTTTCTCCCAGTCGACGGCAGAGATTCGCTCGGTAAGTTAATTAATATATATCCAACTATAATAACATAAATATATAAATTTATACACTAATATATACATACTAAAAAAAACATCAACAATATATTATGCATAATATATAAATATATAAATATATACACTAATCCGGTGGAATTTATCAAAATCCTTTAAAATTTGAAAATATCTTATAAACATATCAAAAAGGGGATGTTACTGACAGCTTGTCTACCATTCTTTTTATAAATTTTATATTTTTTATATGTCACTTTTGACGAACTAATATTGTTTTGTTACTTCTTGCTGTGAGCCCTTTTGGGAAAATACACATTTTTACTAGTATTTGGTTTTTATTAAAATAGTATTTATGTTCCCGCTCCAGTAACAGGGGATGCTTACGTCATAGTAGGTTTATGCATGTAGATTTGGGTTTTGCGTTGATAGATTTTTTTTTATATCATAATTTGAGAGCGTATGACCGCAATCTCACCTGATGTTAAGTGATGATGTGGTCTAAGCTGTTACACGCAAGCTCTATGTCAGTCAGTCACCTTTGAGTTATATATATATATATATATAAATACATAATAATACGATTTTCCTCCTTTACAAAATTTTAAAATCCCTAACATCTTTTTAAATGCATCAAAAGGAAGATTGTTTTAATATATCTACACGACGCACTCACCTCAAAGTAGTAGCTTCCCTTGTATATCAAAATTTCAAACTTCACTGGCGCTTCCTTCCTAATAGTGGCTTCACCGTGAAAATTTACGTCTTTGAATATCACAGACATCTCTCTATAGTCTACCTCTTTGAACATAGCTAAAGTTTCCCAAACGAGGAATAAAATTGCAGATTCCGGGAATATATTGAAACCTGCAAATTTTCAATTGTAATTAAATTTTAATTTAGCAACGTTCTTTATACTAACAGGTTGTACTTGATACAACAAACTGCAAGAGCATATTAAACGCAAGCAGTTTGTATTGTGAGTTATATTCTGGATTAAAGGGTGAGCTATGGTAGTTCTAAGGGTAGGATTTTTTAATTGTCACGGCTATTAATTTAAGGTCTTAAATTTTATCATAATAAAATGTATATATAAGTACAATAACAACATACTAAAAGCTTATTTAAATAGTATCGTTGTTTATCATTCAAAATATTACAAATGCAAAAGCACAGCCAGTACAACCGTATCAGTAAGACGGACCGTCACTCGGTCCGTCTTACTGATACGGTTTAAATGAATGACTTAGTACACATAGTTTAAACCCTGAGAAATATGGGACATAGGATACTTTTTAATACAAACAAGGTTGTAAGGGGTTGAAAGGGGAGAAGAAAGGTTGCATGGAAGTAACTCAGTCATTAAAGCTGGTAGCTCGAAACAAATTTTTTAGGCTATAGATTAAATATAAATAAATGACATTCAAAGTTTATAAAAAGGTAATATATGTTATGTAATTAAAGGTAAGTAAAGTTTATAGAACTATTGAACTAACTATTATTACTAACTAATTTTTTTTAATAAAACGATGGATACATGTATGGATGAACACAATAGAAAATAGACGAGGAAAAATTTTGGGGCACTTGATACGGCACGATGATTTCATGAAAATTATTATTGAGAGGAAAATAGAAGGAAAGAGGGGGAGGGCAAGACCAAGGAATAGCTGCATCAAACAAATTGAGGACAAAATGGGAGTCGTGTCGTATCAAGAATTAAAGAGCATGATGGAAGATCGCGGGAAAGCAAGAGCTCCACCGACAAGAGCGTAGCTCTTAAATTATGAATGAATGAATGATGGATGATAGTTTGTACGGAACTTCGTCAGTTTCAAAGCTAGAACGATGTCATGCATGTTCTAATACTAAAAAAAACGCCTAAATAATTAAAAATTATATCCAAAGTGACTACTCCACGCGGTCGAAGTCGGGAATTATAAATAACTAGCTGTGGCGGTTTCTGTCTGTCTATATGTTATTCTAGTGTATAAGCTATATCACTGTAAAGTTTCATCAAAATTCGTTTAATAGTTTTTGCGTGAAAGAGTAATAAACATCCATCAATACTCACAAAGTTTTGAGTTTAAGATATTAATAAGTTTAGTATTACTATGTTATCTGTGGTATTACCTTCTCTGACGTGCCCTTCGAAATATTTGTAATCGTCGTCAAAGATAGACATATTGAACATACGTCTGGTTGCAACCACCCGCATTTTCGTATTATATCTGGCTTCAGGCCTGAAATTAAGTTTAACATTTAACTAAGACATGTGAGCAAACATACCAAATGTACGAAGCGACTTCATTCTAACAATTGGGCGAAGATAATAATATAATATAATAAATTTTTTATTTCATCCCCACAAATTACATAATTTTAGTTTTATTATATAAATGCTATCAAATAAAAATCACAAATATAATTTCTGGGAAATCTGGAGCCCAAACTAAGCCATAGCCTGTAACTTAGACACCAGGTCTCCCCTTCATATAAAGTAGTTATACATCTAGTTTTAAGTTTAAACGTGGAGTGTATTGAGCATGTGTGTGTCTGTGTATGTGTGTGTGTGTGTGTGTGTGTGTGTGTGTGTGCGTATGTGCGTATGTGTGTATGTGTGTGAGTGAGTGATCTATGTAAAATTTATATATAAACTTATAATTTATATTTACTTATATTTACATGTGTGTATTTAATTTATGTATATTATAGTTTTATTACACTGCATATCTTTTCCGTTTCATCGTAATTTTAATTGGGCGAAGATTATACTACTTTCCTTTTTTTCTAATCTCTTGCTTTCCTTCAAACTTTTCATGGATATGTGTATTATTACATATATATGTATATTCACATGTATTATTTATATATTAGTGTGTTGTTACCACCTACTCTTTTATATACCTTCACCGTCTACCTAAAGGTTACCTGTAAGAGATTGCTTAGCGATAAGGCTGCCTATGTACTTATGATTGTATATATCTTATATATAAAATTCTCGTGTCACAGTTTTCGTTCCCATACTCCTCCGAAACGGCTTGACCGATTCTCATCAAAATTTATGAGCGTATTGAGTAGGTCTGATAATCGGCCAACTTCTATTTTTCATCCCCCTAAATGTTAGGGGTAGTCCACCCCTAATTTTTATTTTTTTATTTTTTAGACAAAATTTTTATTTTCTATTTTTTTATGATAGAACATACAAAAATACATACAATCCTAAATTTTCACCCTTCTATCATCAACCCCTATTTTTTTATAGCGTTATTTATTTATATGGTTAAACAACGTTTATATATATATATATATATATATATATATATATACGTATATATGTATATATAGATATATAAAAAAATAAAATTTAAGTGTCTGTTTGTATTTTTAAAATTATATGTCATCATCATGATCTCCTTCTTCCTTATCCCATTTATTTGGGATCAGCGTAATATGTAATTTCAAAATTAACAGTATTTCACTAATTTCATATGAACTTTTATATTTTCACGGTATTTACTTAATTTTTTTTTTGTCAGTCTGTTTGTCTTGTTAATCTCTGAAACAGCTCGACGATTTTGACGGGACATTTTTTCACAGATAGCTGATATTATAATGCGTAATATAAGCTACTTTAATTTTAAAAAATTTACATCAACACTATATAGTATAAAGTCGCTGTCGCTGTCGGTCCGTCAGCGACAGCGAGTTTATTATATATATTTAAATCTTTAAAACTACGCAACGGATTTTGAAGCGTTTTTTTTATAGATGGAGTGATTCAAGAGGAAGGTTTATATATATGATACCTGTACAACCGTGAAAAGCCGAGGCGAGTAGCTAGTATAGTAATAAAAAAAAGTTAAATATTTCGCGGAGAAAGTCGCGTGTAACAGCTAGTATATATATGACTTACCAATCCTCACTGTGTACCCAGTCAACAAAATGAGAAAGTAATGGAGTCCCCGTTGATACAGGATATTCGATTTTGGGATACAGGATGTCCAATTTGGGATTCAATCCGGCTTGATACAACCTGCAAGGGAGAATAATAGTAGTAATCATAATCTCAGGACAATTCACATAGCACCATCTACGCCCAAGTTCAGTTAGCTAAAGCTTGTGTTATGGGTACTAGATAACTGATACAAATACAAAGATAGTTCTTTTTTATAAATACATACATATTTGTCTTTATGACGCAATGAAGAGTAAATAAATAAATAAAGAATAATAATAATAATAATAATAATCTCAGGACAATTTATACAGCGCCATCTAGGACCCAAGTTTAGCTAGCTAAAGCTTGTGTTATGGGTACTAGATAACTGATACATATACATAGATATATTTCTTTTTCGTAAATACATACATATTACACATAGAAAACACCCGGACCGATACAAACAATTATACTCATGAATACAAATGTTTAGGCCGTACGAGGAATCGAACCTGCGACCATTGGAAGTAAGGTGGTGTGTTAAACTGCTAGACCACCGAGATCGTCAAGATGAATATTTGAGAAGACTATATATTAACTGTATAAAAAAATATATCTATACATATGAATAAAATTGGAGTGTCTGTATGTAATATTCAAATAATCGTTTTTTACTACATGCATATGAATATAAATACGGTACATACATTATTATGTATTTATTTTGGCTAATCTTTGAAATGGCTGGACCGATTATGACGGAATTTTTTTTTGGCAGGTAGCTGATATAATAAGGAGTAACTTAAGCTACTTTTATTTAAAAAATCATCTTTTATTTTAGAAAAGTAAAGTTAAATTCCATGCGGACGAAGTCGCACCTAGTAAATAATATAATCTGTACTTTTAAAATTAATAAAAAAACAGAACTCACGTAACGGTAAAATATATAACTATTAACTCTACATCTAAAAATTAATATTTAACGGAAATACTCACTTTCCGATAGCTTCCAACAGATATTTAACAGGGTCAGTGTTCCCTCTTTTAGTCAAAGGAACATGTACACACTCATTTAGAGACCTCTTCAAGATAGCTTGCAGCAGTCCGTGAGGAGCTATTTCGATCACTAGAGCATTTGCCGGAATCAGTTTTGAAGTCTCTTCGAAGAGCACTGAATTCTGTGGAAGATGTGAAAATTCTTAGCATTTGTGCATGGCGTGGTGGACCGGGACATTGGGGTCCCTAAAATGTCTGATGGCTGACTCGTATCTTTATACTCGTGAACGAGTACTGCTTGTAGGGACTAGTCTGCTCTTATCACTACGACTGATTTAATCTCATTTAGTTACTTATCTTGATTCTGTATTTAATATTTTGATAGTAACAAATTAGTGCTAGTTGGTAGTTTGAATTGACACTTTTTTTTATGTTACAATGTGGACAAACAAGCATACGGCCCATGATGGTAAATGGTTTCCGTAGCCTATGGACGCCTGAAACACCAGGGTGTCACGTGCGCGTTGGTGATTCTTAAGAAACCCTTAATATACCCTTCTTGAAAAACCCCATGCTGTGAGAGCTGTGAGATCCCCATCTCGTGAGAAAAGCAGGTAGTTCATTCCATAATCAAAGTGTACGCGGGAGGAAGTCTCTGAAACCGCACTGTCCGAGACCACTTAGGTTTCACCGTATGTGGCCGAATTCCCTATCGATGGCGAGTGGTGCCATGGTAAAGGTACCCGGCATAAAAATGTAGAGTTACAGCAATGAATGACACACAAATTTCTTGCTCGTTCTTCTTGTGAAGAAATAGCTTTCCGAATGAATGGTAGATTAAGAAAAATATGATTATTCAAAAGCAATACAGTTTATTTGAGGAACAAAATTTCCATTCTATTCATTAATTATCTGGACTACATCCTACTGTCTAAATATTTTTTTTCCGAAACATAAAGAAATAACATTTATTTCATTTGTCTAAGGCCCCGTTTACCATAACAGCTCTTTTTTTAGTGCATATATTTGATAGCTTATGACGTCGATGCTATCAAATTCAAGATTATCAAATAATCTGATGTTAAAAATAACTTGTGATCTTTAACATAACACAGTAACTAATTTATTAAACGTACCAGTAGATTGTTGGTGTGATATTCAGCTGACGAATATTTTGCTTTCGGTTCTTCCCACTGGTCCTGAGGTACGGATGTTGATACCCATTTCGGACTGCGCTCCTTTGGAGTTTTGATAACTTCACTCAGATATTTCAATAATGCAGGACCTAAAGAAATAATAATCATTGTAGTAATACTGAGTTCAGTTCATAATTTTTTGGATTGACAACATGTACTGTTGCATGCTATATGAAATAAAAATTAAATCTTATATATAAAATTCTCGTGTCACAGTTTTCGTTCCCATACTCCTCCGAAACGGCTTGACCGATTCTCATGAAATTTTGTGAGTAGGTCTGAGAATCGCCCAACATATATTTTTTCATCCCCCTAAATGTTAGGGGTAGTCCACCCCTAAATTTTTTTATTTTATTTTAAGGCAAAACAACGTTTGCCGGTACAGCTAGTATATATATATTATACAGATAAATATATTATTTGATTGGGTTTGTTTTGATGTAATGCATTAGGGAATCGATAACTAACTGTCGATAACTAACTCGAATAAAGTGTACAGGGAGAATTATGAAGAAATCGAAACGTAAACAATATACGTTTTAACTTTGATAAGGATGAGAATTTATAATATATATGCCGTCAATAAAGTAGAAACAAAAGAGAAGATTATTTGTCTTGAGATATCTTCTGAAGACAAAGAATATTCTGCTTTGCTTGCACATCAGCAAAAAACGGAATTAATGTTGACTCCAGCCAGTTATCGTCTTGTTCCGAAAGCCAGTTATGTATTCATCACTTATTCTTAGCTAGTTCAGCTGGATCAGCTTAAAACTGACATGTCACCAACATTTCCAGGATATGTCGAACTCTATTAGCAACAAACGTATGCCATTTGGACAGGAAGGTTTTTATCCACGACAAAGTAACACTGGAGTCAGATTTTATTTCGCACAGTGGTTATAAAGCACTCAATACCGAACTCATTAAATCTACTAACAAATCTGCAGATTGCAATTCCCTTCAGAGTATCTGTAATTCTATGGGCATCAGTTAAAACATAATTCAGTATACAATTTCTCTGAAAAGAATAGAATAGAATAGAATAGAAAATCATTTATTCAAATAAACTTACATTGAAGCACTTTTGAATAGTCATTACATTTTTTAATCTACCGCTCGTTCGGAAAGCTGTCTCATCACAAGAAGAACGAGCAAGAAACTTGCGTGTTGCTCTTTTAAATAATTTTATTATTACTTTACATTTTTAAGTTTAAGTGTGTGAATACAAACCACCAATTAGCACTAATTCTATTAAATACTCAAATAGAAATAATATTGAATATATAACTAACTGGTTAAACAATTAATAAGAGGAAATCAGTCATAGTGATTAGAGCAGACCAGTCCCTACAAGCAGCACCCGTTCACGAGTATGACGGATGAGCCAGTCATCACTGCGCTCGACCATATTTAATAATGTTATCTTTTTATTTAAATCTTACCAGCTTCAGCGATATATCGTGAATGGTAGGCAATGTTAGAGCATGGCACTTCTTTAGCGAATATACCACGACCAGTCAAATCGCTGACGAATTCCTTCATGATATCAGCAGGGCCTGATATGGTCGAAGAGTCTGAACTGTTATGACAAGCCACCTCAATCTCTGGCGGGCATAGAGCTAAGATCTGTAAATATTGCAAAGATAAATTGTTTTGAAGTTAAACTTCTATATACACACCCTGTATTAAAAAGAAAGAAAGAAATAATTTAGGATTTGTCGGTCATGAAAAAGCTTTACCGTTCCATAGAAGAGATAGAAGATGTAAGAGAAAGAGAAAGGCTCGTGGCGCCGGAGAGAAGACAACTGCGACGTCTTTGTGTGTCTTTCTGTGTCTCAAGACACATTAAACTTTTTTAAACGTAATTACTGATAAAACTGATCCATACATTGTTTGGAAGATATTGAAGTAATACCTTTTTTTTATAACTCAGGACTTCACGCAGCGCCATCTAGTCCCAAGCTAAGCAGAACTTTTGTTATGGGTACACTAGACTATTTGGTAATGTATATTACTTATAATTAAACCTATATACAAATAAAAATTCTATCTATTTATCTATCTAAATTCTTAACTGCAATAGAATAGAAGAATATTTCAATAGTAGGTACGTTTTAAAAATAGCTATCTAAAATCTTAGCTTTAATAGTTTCCGTTTCAAATACTTCAATGTTATAACAAAACAGATAGAAAATTTCAATATTACAAATAGGTATTCACTATATAATAATAATAATAATAATCTAAAACACAGCGCCATCTTAAAGCTTATGTTACGGGTACTAGACAACTGATACAAATACATAGATATTTTTTTTTTTCGTAAATGCATACATTTATACATAGAAAACACCCAGACCGATACAAACAATCATACTCATGAATACAAATGTTTGTGCCGTATCACTCGGACGTAAAGCGGTGTGCTATAAAACAATAAATAGATATCTAAAATCTTAGCTTCAATAGTTTCCATTTCAAAAACTTCAATTGAAATTTTCTATCACTCTTGTTATAAAACAAAAGTGATAGAAAATTTCAATAGTAGGTACGATTTATAAATAGGTAACCAACCGCTTCATGTCCAATACCGACGGCAGCCATTGATCCACGAATGAATGGTGTTTGAATGGAAACCAGTCCTCTACTGTACGCTGACAGAATCATTTCCTCAGCAGTAAAACAACCGTCTGCATAGGCGCATCCCAGTTCTCCCACACTGTGACCTAAAAATAACAATATCTTAAAATAACTTATGCAGTGCTATCTAGTCCTAACTTAAGCAGAGCTTATATTATGGGTACTAGTTAGTTGATACAAAAACCTTTTTCTGTAAATTCATACATTATACTAATGAATACAAATGTTTGTACCTTGCGAGGAATCGAACCCGCAACCATCGGAAGAAAAGAGGTATTGCAAACTGCTAGACAAATAAAAATATTTATTTTTATTATCTATATTTTATTTCTCGTTCAGTTTACTTTATGCATTATGAATGAATGAATGAATAAAACTCTTTATTGTTCCTCTCACAGAAAATACAATTATGTATAAAATGATAAAAAAAAAATAACGAACAAGACGAGGTAACAATTGGCGGCCTTATCGCTAAAAAGCGATCTCTTCTAGGCAACCTTGGGATGGAGAGAAGTGATTAGATTTGCGTCTATTGCATTATTTGTTCATATTAGGATTTTGAAAAGTATAAAAAGAAAAATTACACTATCTGGTTATTTCGTAAGATCTTACTAAGAAAGAAAAGTGTTATAATTTTGAATATTAACTATCACTAGTAGTAATAATATATAAATATTTAATTGAATTTATGCGTAATTATAGATAACACTCCATCCTTAAATCGTGGAAATTCCACATATTGGAACTGAGCTGTTCACGTCGTCATTTCTAATACGCACTGTCAAAGAGTGGAACATACTTTCAGCTTTCGTGTTCCCGGAGAAATACAGCCAGGACTCTTTATGTCTATGGTGAACAGATTTCTTCTGGGTAAGCGCACTACATACAAGGTTTTGCCAAAATTTTTAACCAGATGAGATAAGACCAAGCGCAAACAAATTTACAACAAAAAAGAGATATCATACATTGTCATACGTACCAATAATATTGTCAGGAACAACTCCCAATTCTTTAAGAATGTCAGTCAAACCAATTTGAACTGCCGCGATTCCAACAAAAGAATGCAATATATTATCATAAATGCTTTTGTCTGGGTGAGTTAAGATATGAATTAAATCGATTCCTTTCGGTTCCAGAACCTTTTGACATCTGAAAAAAGTAAAATTATTTCATATTACAGTATTTTAACTTTTATAGAAGTCACAACGTTGATGGTAGAAACCATAAAAACCATAAAAAACAAAATTATAAAAATAATAATTCCAAACTTAATTAATAAACTGATAAAAATTAATAATTATAATACATAATATTTGTTAATTATTAATGTTATCTATGTGCCAGTTGTAAGAAAAGCGACGGTAGTACTAATGTAACAATAAACAATTAAATTAAAGAATAATCTTAGTTAAGGGATGTTAATATTATTATAGATATTATTGATGTTAATAACATAGGAATTAATATAAATATTGATTTTGCTGTGAGTAAAAATAATTTTGAAATAAAATTAATTGAAATAAATATGTCATTGCTGATGCTATTAACGTGAAAAAAATAGATGAGCAATTGTCATAAAGTACAAACTTTTCAATAGCTGCTGCAAAAATGGGTATACTCATAAGACCTGCGCCCATTCCAGCCCATTGCGACCCCATACCGCTGTAGACGAACCATAATGGTCTATTGATACCCGGGTAGTGGTCTAAACTCTCGGCAACATTAACAGTTTCGTTCTGTTCATTTGTATCTGTAAATTAAATGAATCTTTAATCTTAATAGATTTATACTATTTTGTTTTGTAATTCCGCTACAATTGGCATTCATGAGATCACAAATATTTACGAACTTCTCTATTGGTGATCAAATTCCGACTATTATACAGTCTATTACGATACGTGTTTTGCCTCTGAACGGGGCATCATCATCAAGGCATTGAATAGAGCCTAGTGTTGTCTGATCGATTTTGTTACATGCTAATTGTATCGGAATTATTAAACATTATATGAATCGATTAAGTAGTGAAATGGACTTCCACAAAATAACACCAAATTTTAATAACAATATTGGAAACTCAATAATACGAAAAGAACTTAGTATAATCCCATAGTCCTTAAAAAGTTAATACCCCAATTGCAATTTGATGCGTAGGTATCAGGAGTCTGTAAAGTTATTTTGTACTTTGTATTTTCAAATGACAAGCTTACCAAGAATAATATAACCCCTGCACATATGTCCAGGTATTTCATTCTCATGGATGTTATGTAAGAGTCCAATTTGCTCTGGATCCACAGGTTGATTCTTCAATAAGTCGAACACGTGGTTTACAGAAGATTCCTGTCTTCCAGACACGAAAACCATGCGTGGGATGCTGCACTTATAGCGTTCTAGATTCTAAAAGTTTAAGTATATATTAATATTAATACTAATAATTAAGCTGAACAATTTGATCGCATTAATTTATGGAACTGCTGGAAGATTATACAATAACTTTCTATATTTGATAATTACCTTGAGAGTTTTTAATACAAAATCTTAGTTTTAGAGTTACAGAAATTACAAAAAATAATTTGCCAAACAGAAGCAATATTTCTGAAGTAGTTAATCTGTTACAAGTCTTTTTATTTAACAGTGTCGTTCCCTGACCTGATCTTGAGTATTGAAAACTAAAGTAGCAGCATTATATGCTATACTGCTTCACTACAAAGATCTTTAAATTTGACAAAACTGGTGCCAAGATGGCGTAATAATGTAATGATGCTACAGAATATGTTCCATTTACCTTTTCTTTGTAATGTCCTTTTAATAAAACATGAATGTTAACTCCAGTGTAAGAGAAACAATTTAAAGCGGAGAAGCCCCTTCCAAATGGAGTCTGTTCATTCACTACTTGAATTTTACCTTCGCGTACTGCAGGTATTTCATCGTGCGGTTCATTGTAATGAAGGTTAGCTGGTATGCTACCTTGATGATATGCAAGACAGACCTATTAACAGAAAATATGTATATAGATATTTGCAATGGAAAACTGCACGAAAATGACCACTTCATAGAATTTGGCAAATGTCGTCTTATATACGGACTATGGAAATCACAAAATATTTTGTAGTATCTCTCGTGACGTCAGTATTATTCCTTAGGACTAAGGTATTACGACACAAGTGTTAAATTTCTGTAATGTTTCATTTCTTCGCCACATTTCATTGTTTAAATTCAAATACAGCTTGTAAAATAAGCAAAGATGAGACGGGAATACCCGCAAGCAAATTTTATGCGAGTTATTTTTTTGAATAGATTTTTAAGTGCTTTGCATGCATGCAACGGTACATTGTGGCTTTATTCCAGTAGTTTGTAGTCAGTTTCAACATGTTTCTAGTTTCAACATTTGAGTTTCTTGATAAATTTTAATGTGAATGTGGGGATAGGAAACATTTACTATTCAAATGTACTTAAAGTTAAGAATTTTTCTGTTACCTTAGTCAGAGCGCAGGTTCCAAAAGCGGGTTCACTGTGGCCCATATTAGACACGACACTGCCAATTTTTATAGGCTCGTCTTTTGCAAACACTTTTGCAATTGCTTGAAGCTCATTACTTTCTGCTGTAGCATTAGCTGGAGGAATGACGATGGTATTATTAATAATAGTGTAAATTGTTACATTAAATTTAATTATTTAGTGTCGGGGCAAAAAACTTTCGCTCGATATATTTGTTAATTGTTTTTAGGAGAACACAGTAACTTTGCGAATAATAGCCAGTAGCAACAACTGAAATACCTTAAAAATTAGACCTAGACGGATTCATAAAAATGCATTCAATGTGTAATTTTTGTTTAGTAAAAACACGTTCTTATAGGAAAATCTTAGAGCGATGGACTCCTAAACTACAATACAATGTGCAATTTGATCCAACTTGAAAATTTGGATAGCTTACATCTCAATTTATAGTCGCAATATTATTTTATTTAAAAACCTTAGCCACAGCAACGCGAGGCCGGGTCTGATAGTAATGTATATGGATAAAAGCAAACTTGTCAAAATATAAAAATAAATATATGTAACATAATAGCCAACAAGACGATGTGACGGTAAACGGTTACCGTAGCTTATAAATCCCTGAAGCACCAGTGGTGTCATGTCCGCAATGCCGACTCATTACGAATCCATTTGCGAGATGGATGAAATAAATATGTCAACCTAAATTGAAATCTTAAGTTTAGGTCTGAATAGTTGCTGAAATAATTAGTTAATAGTTGTTGAAATCAGACGTTCTATAAAAGATCCTTCTCATCATTATGTTAGTAAGTAATATAATGATCCAGATTATTTATAATTTCATTGTCTATGTTTCTAGGTAAGCTTTAATGGGGATAGCTGACTTTATCAATATTCACTGCATGGTTTTGGCAAAGTGCCAACTTGCAACCAGAGTTGGCAACAACTGTTCCATCTAGACCACTAGTTGTATTCCTTAAAACCTCAAAATATTTTGAACTTAGATTAGTAATAATAATAACTCTGGACAATATCTAATCCCAAGTAAAGAGCTTGTGTTTTATGGGTGTGAGACAATTGACATACATACTTTGATACATCTTTTAGTTGTATTTAACATTTTTTCTATGTATTTAACATAGAATACACTAGACAGACAGATACAAAAAATGATACTATCACGAACATGACTGTCTGTAGAACGTGAGGAATCAAACATGCGACAATTGGTAAGTTGGTGTATTCAACCGCTGGGCCACCGAAAGCGTCAAAGGAATGTATTAATAAAACTAGAACAAATTTAAATTATAGTTATTGGGCAAATTTAGTAAGATATAAAGTTAATAAACTTCTTAAAATTAATAAAGATCAGAACATATAGTATGTTTTTTTAATTATAAAGTAGATTTAAAAAATATTTAAAACAAAAGAGTCGATCAAATCTACCAGTTCTGATGGTAAAACCGTTAAGTTGGCAACACTAGATGCAATGTATCTTTATAAGCTTTTTTTACCTTTTACGGTACCGTGGTAACAGTTGCAATATATACTCTTTATTGGACATGGAACTTAAAATAATATATAGCTAGATATTTTATTAACAAATAGAAGAAAGGTTGGTTTATTTATATAAGAGATTTCTTCTAGTCAAGGTAATATAGTAAGATTAATTAGCGGCCATTGGAAATATTGTACAGACAACACATATGTTTGTATTTTATACTAGCTAACCCGCACAACTTCGAATACAATAATCACATTCACATGTTTTATAATTATACTATCTGTGCTCGCGGTTTCACCCGTATGTAATTTCAATGTATAAATTCCAATAAAAATATAGCCTGTGTTACTCTGATGCATAATCTACATTACTGTAAAATTTCATCAAAATCTGATCAGTAATTTTTGCGTGAAAGAGTAACAAACATACTCACAAACTTTGACGTTTAAAATATTTTTAATATTAAGATTTTGCCCAAAATCCATAATATCTTTTAAATTAATATCATATATATTATTCTGATATATAAACTATATTACTGTAAAGTTTCATAAAAATCCATTCAGTAGTTTTTGTGTTAAAGAGTAACAAACATACATACTCACATACTTTCGCGGTTATAATATTATTAAGATTAAGAAATCGCCCAATTTTCCATAATATCTTTTTAATTTATAGCCTATGTGTGAATCTAATCTACAAGGTATAGTGTAATATATATATATATATATATATAAATATCCCCTTGGGCACTTTGTGGCTCAGACGTGCCGTATAGGTAGTTTTTTGTTGATCCTTTTTCACTTGTTGATCCGGAGGCCTTTTGTTGATCTAATGCCAGCTGACCATATATAAATGTTGATCCGTTTTGAGCCACAACTGTCACGACGAGTAATAATAATAATTAAGCGATTTATACACGATTTTATACAAATCCACCTTTTTGGCATACGAGCAGTTCTTGATCCAATTCAAACGGGCCAATCAGGGTGCAGCATTTGCCAAGGGCTTCCTCATTGGCACGTTTGGGCTACTACATTATGGCTACAGTAACTTAATAATGTCTAGCTAGTATTTCACAAATAATAGTCTACCTAATCTAAATATTTATAGAAATCAGTCTGGAGTAACGTGACTCCAGATCAAACCTCAATACTTGTTATTTTTTGGACGGGAATTTTTCCTTTTGTAACAACGTTACTGAGCGAATGAAGAGAAGACGTAACGGCGGATCCAGGGGGGAGCGTCATGGAGGTCTTGGGAGTCATGGGGGGCCATGACTCTCCCCCCCCCCTTTGCCCAGGACTTAGGTAGTCCACTAATTGAAATAAAAAATAATGAAAAAGCAAAATTTTTTTGCACTATCGGAGTGTTGGTGCAGTAGTATTAATTATAATTAAACATTGTTACTTAAAACATAACAGTTAAAGTACTATAACACTAAAAGCAAAATAGGTATTTTCAAAATACTTTTTCAAAATAAATTACCCTTTGAGTTTTTGTTCAAACCTCAGATATTATATTTATTTTAGGTATATCAATCAATACATAGTATAGCATAGTACAGTCTGTCTGTCTGTCTGTTTGTTGCGGCTAATCTCTGAAATAGCTGGACCGATTTTGACGGGACTTTTTTTGGCAAGTAGCTGATGTAATAAGGAGTAACTTACGCTACTGTTATTTTAGAAAAATAAAATAAAATTTCACGCGGACGAAGTCGCTGGGGCCAGCTAGTCTATAGATATACCGAGATTTAATGTTTAAGTTGCTATTACTATGTTATTGACAAAATTTTACTGTAATGTTACTATTACGTTATCCTACACAATTTGTATTATTTTGGATGAATAAATAAATAAATAAATAAATAATAATCTATACATCTATACATTTAATAAAAATTGGAGTGTCTGTTTGTAATATTGAAAAAACCGTTTTTTACTACATGCATATGAATATATATAAGGTACATATACCAAAATAACTATTTTTATAATTTTAGTCTGTCTGTCTGTCTGTCTGTTTGTTCCGGCTAATCTCTGAAATGGCTGGACCGATTTTGACGGTACTTTTTTTTGGCAGGTAGCTGATTTATAAGGAGTAACTTAGGTTACTTTTATTTTAGAAAAATAAAGTTAAATTCCACGCGGACGAAGTCGCGGGAACACCTTGTTTTTAATAAAAACATCTTTTTTGTGGTACTTGAGAATGTTGAAGCCTGTTGTTTGTAATATTGAAATAACCGTTTTTTACTACTTGCATATGAATATAAATACGGTACATACACCAAAATAACATATTTTACAATTTTTGTCTGTCTGTCTGTTTGTTCCGGCTAATCTCTGAAATGGCTGGACCGATTTTGACGGGACTTTTTTTTTGGCAGGTAGCTGATGTAATAAGGCTACTACCTAGTAACTTAGGCTACTTTTATTTTAGAAAAATAAAGTTAAAAACCACGTGGACGAAGTCGCGGGAACAGCTAGTGTATAATATATTAGAGATACCTACGTGTTTTTTTATTGATGACTAGCTGTACACGGGATTTCGTCCGTGTTGAATTTAACTTTATTTTTCTAAAATATAAGAAGTTAAATTCCACGCGGACGAAGTCGCGTGTACAGCTAGTTGTCGGTAGTCTAGCGATTTAGCTAGCACACTGCTTTGATTCCTGCTTGGTGGTCGAGGGTTCGATTCCTCGCACGCTGCAAACATTTGTATTCATGAGTATGATTGTTTGTAACGGTCTGGGTGTTTTCTATGTATAGATAATATATATGTATTTACGAAAAAAAATCTTTGTATTTATATCAGTACCCATAACATAATCTTCAGCTAGCTTAACTTGGGTCTAGATGAAGCTGTGTGAATTGTCCTGAGATTACTATTATTACTATAATAAATCTTTTCAAATCAGCCGATGTTTATTTTTGCCATAATACGTGCTGTTACCATGTGATAATATTACGTACGTACTTATTAAACTATTAACTTATTATTAAATTGTTTGTAACGGTCTGGGTGTTTTCTATGTATAGATAATATATATGTATTTACGAAAAAATCTTTGTATTTATATCAGTACCCATAACATAATCTTCAGCTAGCTTTACTTGGGTCTAGATGAAGCTGTATGAATTGTCCTGAGATTACTATTATTATTAATTGGTACACAGGTAAACTACTAACTAGGCCATATTGGTGTTGTTTGTTATGGTGAAAAAACTAGTAGGTATATATATAAGTTACACGTACAATTTCAAAGACTTATTTCTTGAAAACTACTGGCTATTCTGAAATAAAACTTTAGTGTTTGTATATGTAATGTTTGCATATAAAATATGATTAAAGGTTACCAGTGTATTTACACTTTTACTGAACAAACAGAGTTGTTTAATACTGAAAATATTGTGTGGAAGGCATCAATTACTTTCAGTGCATGTATAGCTTTTTAGCAAAGATTTTTTCGTAAATACATATATATTATCTATACATAGAAAACACCCAGACCGTTACAAACAATCATACTCATGAATACAAATGTTTGCAGCGTGCGAGGAATCGAACCCTCGACCACCAAGCAGGAATCAAAGCAGTGTGCTAGCTAAATCGCTA